TTTGGTGCAAGAAGAGAAGGGGGAGATGGACACCATCTGAGCATGAATTGGGATGGCTGGCAGCAGCATTTAATTGAAAAAAAGACAACACCTTTTATACTGTAGGATTAAATGGGAGACAAAGGTCACGTGAGCTAGGGTGTGGCTAGAGATCAGAAGCTGAGGAAGATAGTGTTGACCTTGGCAATCGGCACCTGTCACAAGGGCCACAGGTTCCTCTTGCTAGAGATAAGAATGACAACAGGAACTTTCCTCAAGCCCCAGAGGGAATGGAGACCAAATGCCTGACCCTGGTAAAAGGATTTCTTCTAGGGAGCAGATACTATACTACAATTTCTTAGTGTTACTGCATGGGCCTGTTCCTCTCATAATGCTCCTAAAAGGGAAAGTCTTATTCTTTTTCTATTATACAGTACCATTCTGATTTCTCTATGTTTATTAACTGAACTCTTGCCCTTGATGATTTCAGACTTTGGGTCTGAATTGTAGGCATGTTCTCCAAGGGATCAGGTGTGTCTGAAAAATCTCTAACTTTCTGTTCTTGGTGTAATTAGGAGGGCACAAATGGAATTCCTGGTTCCACAGTGGCAGGGTTTTTATCCCCCAAAGAATTATTTTCTTTAGAGAGGCTATCATTGTACACATTTTTATCCTTGACCAAAGCCCACACAAAATTTCCCAAAGGGAAAGTCATTAATATTGAGAATCATTGAAAATGAAAGTAAAAAGGTGCTGCAGAAGTCTGGTCTGCCTGCAGTGTTGAAATGCTGGAACTTTGTCAAGCACCAATGGTCACCATGTAGTCCACGCCACCTTCCCCCTTCTTTATTTTTTAATTTAGATGTCTGGAAATCATGTTGAGAAGCTGTAATAGGGCTTCTCAGTTGCTAGAGGATGCCTAGGAGAAGGAGGAGAGCAAGAACAACAACTAGAGTGTCCAAACTGGTAAGAAATGACCGAAAGGTTTTTTTCTATCACAAAGGAATTTAAAGAATCTTTCCACCACCACGGAATCTGAGTGAGATTGTAGCATGACTAATTGTAGTGATGTGGCCATGCTTACATAGCCAAAATGTCTGGATTATATAGGGAAGAGCCTGTGAGGGAAGGGCAGCCCAGGCCTTGAACTGGAGCATCCAGGGTCCAGGGCAGGGTATGTAAGCCATCCTCTGTAACAGATGAGGAATGAGAGATTCTAGGAGAACCTGGCAGCCAGATCCAGCTTTGCTATGTTAAAGAGGCACCTTAGTCTGTCGTCCTGGGTTTGAAGCCTAGTATTTCTCTTTTTGCTGATAATAAATGCAATGATCAGGGACAATGAGATCCATCTGTGACTACTTCGTGCTGACATTGGGGTTGTAAGATTTTAGAGAATTCTGAAGCCATTTCTGACAATTCCAAACACTCTCAGCCGCTGTGCCTCAGTGCTTCCCCTCCTCCCCTGGGAACCAAGGACCTAACAGCTACACATGCACGTACTCAGTTCCTGAACAATTACCCACATATGTATGTTTTGACTCAGTCCCCTGGGAAACGGGGTCAAAATGACCTCTTACCTCATCTGATCTGACAATAGTTCTCCAGTCAATTATTGGTATTAGCCCTTTTCGAACAAGCCAATCATAATGGTCAAGGAACAACCCCTCTTGTTTCTATGGGGCCTTCTCCTTTAAAAGTAGACTGTACCAGCTAGTCGGGGTCTCTCAGCTTCCCGAATGCTGGGGGACCCTGTCATGACAGAATTAATAAAATCCTCATGCTTTTGCATCGGCTGTGGTGTATGAGGTGGTCTCTGGGGGCGACTCCTTCTCGGTTTGGACACTAGAGTCCAACAGGGTGTGATAGTTGGGGACCCAAAAAGCTGGAGTGTTGACCAAATCCAGGAAGAGTAGCTATTTCACTTGTCATCCAGGCTCTTTGGGAACATCCAGAGCTAGGGCAGTGTAGGTAGCAGGTGGAGAACTATGCAGTCTTTAATTGATTGGAAATCTGCTGGGACAGATACATATTAGGGGAAGAAAATATAGTTAAAATTTCTTTTTCTTCGAGGGGTACATTTGGAACTTCCAGATTCATGGTTCTGGTAGCTGAGGGAGAGGAGTCTCAAGATCAGGAAAGAGAAGAATACCCATTCCATCAGGAACATGCAGGTGGGGAAACAGGCAATTGATTGACAGTCCATTTGAGAGGTGGATCCAAGCCAATTCCCTGAAACTTACAAGAACATTTTTTAAGTTCACAAAAAGTTTCAGGTATGTTTGCATCACCATTGTTTGTCTTCTGTATTGACATTCACATTGTAGAAAAGTCAATTCGCTGGTGTCTGTAAAACAGCTGGAGTAGATTTGTGCTTTTGATGCCTAGCAAAAGCTATAGCTTGGGGTTAAAAAGTATGAACATTTTTTTACCTCTGTCCAGAGAACCAAATATAGATTGGACAGGTTACCATACCACCTATATGTCTGCCTGGGGAAAGGACAGGGCATCTTATTAAGTACTGAGTTCACCAGACTGAAACATGGGAGGGAGGGTGCATGTACTATGCACACAGATGTGCATACAAAGACACAAGGGCGTGAGAAAAAGTGGTATATTGCAAGGGAGTATGTTCTGTTTGTTTGGAGTATAAAAAAGAAGTAGAGATTGTAGAGGCCCCAAAATGTGAGCCTATTCCACCTTGTCTGAAGGTCAGAGAGCTTGAGTTTGTTCAAAGTTGCTGACAACTGTAGCTATACACCCTGACCTAGGGTGTGGTTACTTAGTGTTTTAGACATTAAGATGGCCTATAGACATAGATCCACTCCACCCTGAACAAAGGTCAGAGAAATCAAGCATAATCTACTCCTTCCTTTGAAATAGGATGTTTGACTTTGAGTGTGGCTGCCTTCAGGATACTTGGTCTAGGGTAGGTTCACTACTCAAGAAATAATGGCTTGATGTCTTAAGTATTGGGACAAATACCTGTTCTAGTCATCCTTGTATCGTGTTAAAGCAGTCTTTTGACTTCTTCTCCCCACCTTTGTATTGGACTATAAAAGTGTGTGGAAACATAACCACAGGTGAACTCAGAACTCAAAAGTCAGTAGAAGAATTCTGCTTCCAGTATTTGCTGAGTTGCCTTCCCAATACTATCCTATGTCTCTGTGATTCTTTCTATCTTTGTTCCTTCTGCCTAACTTTTCTAATCCTCGTGCCCCTACCCTGGAACATACGAACCCGCAGCAGCTAGGATTGTGACACCCAAAAAGGTGGCTCCTGACAGAGATAAGTAGATTGGTAAATTAAAGTTCATTAAAAAAAAAACAAGTAGAAAACAAAATGTTTGTACACCATGAGAAACACAGAAATTTAAAACATACTGAAATTTAAGTAGAATGAAGACACATTGTGTTTGTGATTCAGAAAGCACCACCTGGCTGTGATGTAAAATTTTTTAAGATTTTGGGTACCTTCGTGCTTCTGTGGAGGTCAGAGTTCAACCTGCTGGAGTCTGTTCTCTCATTTTATCTTGTGAATCCTAAGGTTCAAGCTCAGATCATTGTCAGGCTTGGTGACAAAGGGATGAACCATCTTTCAGGTCCCAAAGCAGCGTTTTAAAGTTGAGGAGGCTGTGTTCTTTCTTAAGAGAACTCTCTTGCACGCCTCAGTGTGTGCTGATACATTTAGTTACAATGTTAGTGAAATATCTACAAATGTATAAGATTCTTGCAGTTTTTGGACAGCTACCTATCACAAGAAAAAGGGGAAAAGCAAAAATTAAAATAAATGTATAGAATCTCAAACAAAAGCACAAACCAAATTACACTTTAACAGAGCATATCTTAATGCAATGTTTGACTTTAGTCAAATTACCACACAGAGCACATGACGGTGTTGGTTTTATGTAGTTTAATTTGACTATGAAAGAAAAAAGAGAAAGGGGGATATGAGAAACATTGCTGGTGGATTTAGATGGAATCACCTTTCCTACTCTCCAAGTGTCATAAAGAAATGCCTTTTAAATTACACTGTAGCTCTGGAACATATTTAGCAGAACTATACTTCTAGAATGTGAAAAACCTCAGAAATCAGTTTCGGTTACTACAACCCCAAGAATGTAAACTTTATATATTTCTGTCTCTATGGTAACCTAAAACTGCCTAGCATAAACACACTGTGAAAAGAGCTCTGTCCCAGATTTCATTGCTAGTATCAGCTTTTGAGTTTATGACTCAGTTGCTACTATTCTAATGAGTTTAGACTGACATAAGGAAGCACAGACAGACTCCTTGGCTATTTTTATCACCTTTCCAACATTTACAACGGTCAGAAAGCCAAATTATTCAAGTGGTTCTTTTAAAAAGCTCTTTTGTTTGCTCATGAGTGTATGCATGGTATTTGTATGTGTATGAGAGTTGGCATTGGGTGGGTACAGATATGCACATGCCTGTGTGTGCACAGGCATGCGGTGTGCACTTGTGTACCTGCATGTGAAGGCTGGAGATTTACATGAGGTGCTTGCCTAATAACACTCCACTATTTTTTGATTCAGGGTTTCTTGCTGAACCCGAAGCTCTCGGGCAAGCCAGTTTGTCTCATGGATTCAGTATGATCCTCGAAGAGGCGGAATTATAAGCGGCTGCCACTAGGTAAGAGGGAGATCTCTTCCAATGCCCTTCTATAGATACGAACCTAGTCCTTACTTAACCGAACCAAATATCATGGGTCGCTCAGTACTTATGTATTATTACATATATTTATTAAACGTTATTCTAAGACTTTCTTTTAAACAATGAGACAGAGAGAGAAAGAGAGAGAATTAAGGGATTTCTTCAATTCTGTGTAATTTTCACTGGTAAGGGCAGAAAAAAGAAAAAAAAGCTGAACAAAACGCATTCGGCTGGGTGGACCCTCTAGGATCTCCGCAGGAGCCAAGGCTCACTTCCTGGGCGGAGTTCAGCCTCCCCCGAAACGGAACCGCGTCAGGCCCCGCCCACCCGCAGGCTGGCCAATGAGGGGCCGTCCGGACCGCGCGCGCGGGGTGTCATGGCGGCCTGCAGGCAGTGCTGCTCGTACCTGAGGCTCCGGCCGCCGGGCTGCGGTCCCCTCCGTCCCCCCGGCCAGCCCGGGCGGAGTCGGCCACTCACCTATTTGCAGGCGCGAGCGCTGTGGAGCAGCACCGGGTCCCGAACGGTGGCCGTGGACTTGGGCCACAGGTAAGGAACGGCGTGAGTTCGCGGACTTTTCACGCGGTATCTGGTCCAGACAGCCTTGATAGCAAACACCCGGGGTGGGACTCCAGCAGGCTGAGTCTCAGTCAGCCTCTCTACTCCAACCTAAGCTCGAGATTTCCCTTTCCGGATTTGAAGTCTGTCTTCCCGGTGCTTCCCCCTTCCACGCTGCCCGCTGTCCGCTGCGTCTTGATCCAGCCCCTAACTGTGGTAGACTTCCTTCTCAGTGCCCATGACAACCTTCCTCTGTGTTTCCCGAGATCTCGGGCATTGAAGTGGGAAACCCGTTGTGAGTGTGTGCCCAGCTCACTTCTCCCAAAAACGAGGCCAGAGTGAGCCAGAGTGGGGAAGGGACCGTCGTTTTGTTGAATACCGGTTATATGATGCATACAGCCCTGTTAAACCTCAGTGAAAGTACTGTTGCCTTCATTTTGTAGTTGAGACAACAGAAGGTCAAAAAAGGTAAATTTCTCAGAGTTAACAAAACTAAGACATCTCACACAAGCGCGCGCGCGCCAGAGAGAGAGAGAGACAGACAGACAGACAGACATAATCCCCAGTTTCAAATCCCAGAGGCCATGTATGTAGTATGTGTGGGTCCTCTATGTGTTTGGAGATCTTTTATACCTATAATATTGAAAAGTAAATGGGTAAGAGGCAAAGTGAACAACAAAACAACGTAAGTTTAATAGTTTCTTGGAAACAACCGAAAGTCCATGTTCCTGAAACATAATCATCTTGTCTTTCTACATTATCAGAATTCATTGAGTAACAATAAATTCACACAATATCCCAGTTCTCTTAGCCGAAATTTGCCAAGCAGTTCAAGTTTGCCTTGATCTATGCTGGCTGTTGCAAACATGGTTTCTTTTATTCCACTGGCAGTCACCAATATCAACTCTCAGATTACACATGACACCCTACACAGGAATAAGAACTGTGTGTTTGTAGCTATGTCGGTTACAGGGTGACTGCAGAAACTGATGCTGCATAGTTCAGGGCGCTGAAAAAGACTTACTAGACCAAAGGCAAAGAGCTAAGACAGACTACTGCTGGTAGTCTCAGCTGGACACTTGCCGGAGGTCCGTAGGGCCAACCCACAGGGGGGAGTTCAGCTGAAGAGTGACATTCACAACTGAGTCCAGATGGGTGGACATAGATGTGTAGGCCTACAACACTTTGAGCAGGGTATGCCAGCCAGCTCAGCTGAAGCCTTAGGAACAGCCCCTTCTCTACTGATGAGACAGCAGATCAGTGTTCACTAGTGGCGTTAGATGTCCTTCTCTGGGGTCCGGGTGAGAGTGTTGCACCCTTTGTTGGTTGGCTGAGTTTGATGAGTTCCTGGCCCTGTTTTTTTCTTACACACTTTTAATATACCCATGTGTTCATATGTGTGTGTGTACATATATGTATATATATATATGTTCTCAATATATTTGATAAGTTTATAGGTCATACCTTTTTACTTTTAGAAATAAGTTATTTACCCGCCTGTGCCTAATGGACAGTTCTAGACATGAGCTGGTGTCTACTTGAAAAAGATAGATCATGCCTATGTATTTGGACTTATGATGTTATATCAAAAAAGACAGTGTCAAATCCCAAGTTTATGGACATTTATTCCTGCTGTTTTTTCCAAGGAGCTGTACTTTTTTGCTCTAAAAGAGCTATCCCTAAAAGGAACCATGTTTGTTTTGAGTTTTTATTTTTTGTATGGAGTATGTGGCTATCCATCCATCTCCATACCTTTTACTGAAAAAGATTATTTTTCTACCACTAAACTGTCTTGACACCGCTGTTGAACATAAAAGTCACTATTAGTATTATTATTATTTACTAAGTTTTTAAGTTAGCATTCAAAAACCTGTTATTTATCAGAAGATAAAAGTCCTTTATTATTTTTAACATAGCATACAAAATACTGTTATATATCAGAACATGAAAGTCTTTGTAGTCAATATTCAAAGTGTATATTTTTTTCCCAGAAAGTAATGGGGGGATTTTAAAGTATTTTAATTAGGGAAGAGAAGAGTCCGTGTGATAGTTTATACAGCAGTGCTTCATGAGATAGGCAACCATAGTTAGGAGTCTTTTTCTCCTGGCCGTGCTTTCCCATCCTCCTGGGGAGTCCTTTGCCTTGCTTTCCATCATCTTTAAGCTGCACTTGGGTCTCCTTTGTGCTTTTGATGATCACAAATCCTGCATAGTTTGGCTCTTCTTTTTCCCTGAAGTGGGGATGGGGACTTAGATTGGGAGCCTTTTGGGTTTTGTTGTTGTTGTCTTTTTTAGCTTTTCTCAATTATTTTTTACTAAGCGAAGGCTTGTACTGTACTAAATTTTTATTTTTAAACAGAAAATTAGAAATATCCTCTGGAAAACTGGCAAGATTTGCAGATGGCTGTGCTGTGGTACAGGTAAGGAACTAGTCTGCTCTAAAGTCCTAGTGGCTGATGTCTTAGTACCATCATATGTCATCATATGATATTGGGAACTAGTTAAGACACCACTGCGTGTTTCTGTGTCAGAACCATGCTAGCCCAGCAAAGTCAGTTGAACATAGGAAATGACCTTTAAGATCTCTTCCAAACTTTGGGCTTTTCTGTATTCTGTTAATAAAATCTATTATGCTTTTTTCTATTTAAAAAAAGTGTTTTTATTATGCCTTTCATAGTAATTCTTGAAAATTTTTCTTTATTGTCTGAATTTCCTCATAAAGAGTAAAATACGACTCAATTCATTGATGCGACCGAGCTATTGCCATTTCTCCATGTGAAAACTTCCATGAATACTCTAATACTGGTCGTGGTCAGCTAGAAAGGATGGAGATTGCTGCACTGATAGTAATCATACGAAATAGAGATCTTCCATCGAGCCAAGAATGGTGCAAGCACTCACAAGTCCAGTGCTCTGGACTTCTGTAAGCAGAAGTCGGTGGATCTCCTACAGGACTTCATAATGAGGCATGATTTCAAGAGAGAGAAAACGAGCTTTTATAGAATTTATTTAGAGTGGGGATTCATTCAATTGCTGTTTACACATTAATGTCTGATTTCAAAAAAGATTACTGATATTTTTGTATCTGTTCAAGTCAGGCGACACAGCAGTGATGGTCACAGCAGTCAGTAAAACAAAGCCTTCACCCTCCCAGTTCATGCCCCTGCTGGTAAGTATTCACTTATCTGAGTCTCCAGAATAGTGTAAATGTCGGATTGTAATACCCTGTCAAGTGTCTGAAGTTAGACTGTCCAGCAAAGGTTGCCCTTAGATGTCTGAGACTGAGGATGTGAACTGATGGCTAAGTATGAACTTCCCTTGTCAAGCGTGGTGAGCTCAGTGGAAGTGTGCCCATACATTGTTGTTAAGAGCCCTGGCTGTCCTGTCCTGGAACTTGCTCTGTAGACAAGACTGGCCTTAGATTTGCCTGTTTCTGCCTCCTGAGTGCTGGGATTAAAGGCATGCACCACCACTGCCTAACTTGTGTTTTTCTAATGATTAGCAGAAAGCAATTATGTCTCACAGGGTTAGTGCACAAAGTTGGGAGGAAGGGACACCATTTGACTGGGTCAAGGTAAGCTGCGGTAGAAAGCAGCGAGACTCGGCAGTCACCTGACTGCTAAGTGAAGGACTTTCCTTTTTCATCAATTGAAACACACTATACATTCTTCTTCCCAAGTGGTTTAAAAGAATGCTAAAAGCAAATTAAATATTATCTACTTGTTGTCTAGAATATGTTGTGAGCAACTTTAGGAAAGTTGGTGCTTCTGTAGGGGTTCTTGGGATGTGAACCTTGATTCTTCATTGCTGCTTCAGGTTGACTACAGACAGAAAGCTGCTGCAGCAGGTAGAATCCCCACAAACTACCTTAGGCGGGAGATTGGCTCTTCTGACAAAGAGATTCTCACAAGTCGAGTAATAGGTAAGATCTCCAGTGTGCCATTTTACATCGCTTCTTCCCATCTCTGCTCTGCAGGGTCTCCTAAGCTTCCTTCACTGCATGACTGCCGCTGGCTATTATTTACTATCAGATGTGTGCCTCCTGAGAGGAAAAACTTGTTCCTTCTCTATCAAAGCCTTATACCTCGTGTAGAGGCATTCAGTAATTACTGAATTCACCAGTAAATATTGACTGAATGAATCTGTTGAGCATGTGAATCCCATGCCCATGTCAGTTATCACCACGGTTTTTCATTTTTATGTTCAACTTAGTAACTCCTAAAAGCATTGTGTTTATCAGCTATTGAAGTATGTCTGTCATCTTCCAGATCTTTTTTGAGAAGGAAGAAGCATGAGTGTGTGGGTGGGAGGGTGTGGGTGGTGGTGAAGTTCTAGGTTATTCACATACTATGTGAGCAGCACTGTGCTACTAAATAATATCGCCAGCCTAATAATGTCCCAGCTCTTCGACATCTACAGATATTGTGGGATCATTTGTGGTCTACAGCTTTCCACCCAATAATTGCTAGCTTGTACAAATTTATATGTGTTCCTCAGACAGTAAACCAAATGAACATTTTCTTTTTGTCTGCTCTTGGTCTTCAGCCTCTTCCTTTGCTTTGTTGTTAGGGAATGGTCTGTATTAATGAAAGTGTTGGTGCTTATCGGTGTTCTTAGCACGCGGTCTTTTTGTTTGTGTCTGTGACACAATCACCAGCCGTCTCTTAGTTCAGTAGTTTTAATTCTAGAACGATTCTGCCAGGGCCATTTAAAATCTTTTTCTTTGTTTTGACAGATCGTTCAATTCGACCTCTCTTTCCAGCTGGCTATTTTTATGATACTCAGGTAAATTCTGCTTTGGTTTGGTTAAATTATTTAATCCCTGTAACTCTTTCTAAAGAAAGCTTTATAAAGAATTTTTATGGTGTTCATGCATTACACTTTGAGTCACTTTAAAAGGCAGTACTTTGGAAAACCGTATGTGACTGGTGTCATTTTGAGCTGATGCCTGAATTATGAGGAGGAGTGAAAGACTGTTGGGAACGCTCTGGGAAGGTTGATGAGAATCTAAACCACCCTGTGTTAGGAAATAGGTGGATGTATATAAAAGACACTGTGATAGTTAGGGGTGGTAGCCAGACTCGGGGGCTGGATTTTGTAGGTCAAATTTATAATAACTCATTAGGACAATCAGCATAACTGTTTGTTTTGATTTGGTAAACAAGATCTAAATTTCTGTAGCTCAGGCTGGCTTTAACTCTGTGCATAGCCTAGGCTAGCCTCAAACACATGGCAGTCTGTCAGCCTTGGCCTTCCAAGTGTTGAGATTACAGCAGTGACCATCACGACCATCTTATCACAACTAATTTTAATATCTTTATTCTAGATCTTCTTAACTATTATATTTTAATACTTTCTGAATATTCTTTTCTTTCCTCAAATTGATCGTATACTTTAGTTAGATATACTTAGGTAGCCATTTATTTAACTGCAGTAAGTAAATATATCTTTGAGAGGACTTCAGAGCCTCAAGGAAATGATTCCTTTAAAAATCTAACAGAGGTACATCATTGCAATAGAAACTGATACTAATACAAGTACATAGCCAACATTTACAGAGTGCTGTAGCATACCTGGTACTGTCCAGGTTCTTTCCATGTAGTTCTCAAAGGAACTCCTTAGGAAGATGACATATTCTGTCCCAAAACAACAGAACTAGGAGTGTAACTTGGTAGTAAAAATGAAGCCCTGGTCCAGCAATGCTGGTAGCCACATACATCGCATACCCTTGGGGAATACAAATGAGGAAATCCAAGTTTAAATACCTAGTGTCAAGGATTTAGTTAAATGATTGGTAACTTTAAGGTATTTGGATATTGATCATGATTTGGATATTGATCATATAGTTCTTATATTTTAGGCCAAGTTGCTAATTTAAATCATAATCTGCCAACATCAAGGGGCTATTGTTGTTGCTATCTGTTTGTCTAATTTGTTTCCCTTGTTGCCAGGTAATATGTAATCTACTAGCAGTAGATGGCATCAATGAACCTGATGTCCTAGCAATTAATGGTGGTAAGTATAAGAACACCAGCTAAAATGATCACTGTTGATTTTTTTTTAAGCAATGAAATACTGTAATTTCAGTTTTTTATCTGTCTCCTTTTTAAAGCTTCTGTAGCCCTCTCCTTGTCAGACATTCCTTGGAATGGACCTATCGGTAAGTTAGAATTTGGAAGTATGAGCTGCTGTTTCTGTTCTTTGAATAACAATGTGCACGTTATTGGTGCTGATTTATTACTTCATGGCAAGCTGAGCTAGATAGCAAGCTAATATTTCTTGCAGGTCTTTCAGGAATTTCATCCTTGCTTTGGGTTTTGTTACTCAAAGACTGTTATAGTGCTATTGATTTTATGGCCCTAGGCTTCTTAATTCCCATTCATTCTTCTTTTCTTTATAGTGAGGATTACCATAGTGCATAGTCTTTCGAGATAAAACAAACATGTTTGTAACTTATAACTTCTGGAAGTTGTAACCATACAGTCTGCCGATTTCTTTACAAAGAGTACTATTTTCTATTTCTTTTTCTTTTTTTCTTTTTTGGTTTCTGAGACAGGGTTTCTCTGTGTAAAAGCTCTAGCCTAGCTCTTGTAGAGCAGGCTGGCCTCAAACTCAACAGAGATCTGACAGCCTCTGCCTCCCGAGTGCTGGGTTAAAGGCGTGTGCCACCACTGCCCTGCTAAGTTTACTATTATAAATGGCACAGACAAGGTGCTAGAAAAATTATATAGAAGCGCAGGTTGTCAAGTAGAGCTTCTCAAAGTAGTGTGTAAGTGAAACATCAGTGGGAGAGGGGTAGAAGCATCTGCTGTGGACAGAGTAGTCTGGATATAAAGAGCAAGAACATGATCAAAGTGTGCGCAAAAATCATTTGGCTTGAGGAATTCAGAGCATCCCACTGAGCCTATAAAGGAGGATGGGATAGGTGCTCTCTGAACTTCCTTAACTTGGGAGAAATAGAAAGTTCATTCTGTTGTCAGAAAGACAGTGTGATGCAGCGGCTACTAGAATAATACTGTGAAAATCGCATGTTTTAATTATACATTGCTAACATTTTAATATGTTTTAGGGGCAGTACGAATAGGAATGATCAATGGAGAATGTGTTGTTAACCCGACAAGGAAAGAGATGTCTTCTAGCACTTTAAATTTAGTGGTTGCTGGAGCACCTAAAAGCCAGATTGGTAAATAAGTTACCTATGTTCATTCTGCATTTTACTTGCAAGTTGTATTTCTTCTGTTACTTGTGTCTTTGTTTTTCATTTAAAAGTACCCTGTTGTGAAAGATTCTCAGACGGTAATTGTCTCTTTACCCTCTGACTAGTTATGTTGGAAGCCTCTGCAGAAAACATTCTACAGCAGGACTTCTGTCATGCTATCAAAGTTGGAGTGAAGTATACCCAGCAGATAATTCAGGGCATCCAGCAGTTGGTAAAAGAAATTGGTGTTGCCAAGAGGACCCCCCAGAAGATATTCACCCCTTCACCAGAGATTGTGAAGTATGCTCACAAGTAAGAATGCCTGCGCAGATGGGCCGTTGTCACCAGGTTCAGGTTCCTCTCAGGAGATGCACTTTGTGTGGCATGTTCCTTCTTTACGTCATTGCCATAATATAACTACCTATCTGATACCTGCAGGAAGATAAACCAACCAGCAAACGGCATAAACTTAATTCAAGGCATAAGTTTAAATCTCAAGTAAAAATCAGATCCTTTATCTCTCCACGTTCAGGGTAAAGAGAATAAAACATATGATATTTGTATATCTAGGAAACTTGGATTTCTCAAAAAGAAGTGGGCTTGAACCAGTACTATGCCCAGGGCTTAGACGGTGCCTGGCAATACTTAGAACAGGGAGGCACTCAGCAAATATGAGTGACTCTGAATTGGAATTAGATGAGCAATGAAGAGGGAGGGGCATAGTGAGTGATTTGCCTGAAAGGTGGAGGGAACTCTGTTCTGGATTATAATAAGCACATAGTGAGGTGCAGCAACATCTCACCTTTATGGAGTGCCAGTTATTTAGTTTGTAGTTCATTGCTGCTTAATATTTGTCTCAGTTATAGGAACTTCATAGTTCAATTGTTGTTTGCTAACATTTATTTTATACTTAATAGACTCGCCATGGAGAAACTCTATGCAGTTTTTACGGATTATGAACATGATAAAGTAGGTATACCTTCAGTTTTGTTTGGAGATTGCTTTGTTGTAACTCATTCAGTTCTGTTTGTACATGTTAGTCCTATTTGTCTTCAGTAGGACTGGGTGTGGGCTCAGTAGTAGAACAGTTGTCCTGTATTCCTGAGGTTCTGTGGTTGATTGGCAGCACTGCAGAGAATAAATAAACCTCCAACAAATGTAAATAAAGCAGTTCTTCTTTGAGAACTCACCCACACCCCATGTGTGTCATGCTTCCTTTCTGCCTCTTAGCCCCCTATTGCCTGCACTCTCACCTCCAACTGGACTTTCCTTATAAAGCAAGACAAAGCCTACCTGCTTGTTTTTCTATTCTTTTATTAAATACACTCTTTAAGGAAATGCGCAAATATAATTTGAACTAATTAAATCAGGTTTTAATCTTTAATGTTTCTGTTCTTACAGTGTGTTTTTTGTGTAACATTGAAAACATGAGAATTTCATATTTATACACTGACATCAATTCTGTTTTAGATTTCTAGAGATGAAGCTGTTAACAAGATAAGACTAGACACAGAGGAGCAACTAAAGGGTAATTCTGTTTTCATTTTTAAAGAACTTGAAAGACAAACATTGATTTTTTTTCCAAAAAAATACATAGATTTGTTTTCAGATTTCAGTGGTAAGATCATGAAAAACTGAGTTATTCTCATAGTTGCCCAGTTTTATCTTAAATCTGTAATGATGATAGACCATGAGTTGGCTGTCATGTTAACTTCTAGAAGTGTGGCTAACACTGGCCTTGAGTTGGCACCTAGTAAATAATGAATGTAAAATGTTCCTTTCTTATCTGCTTCAGTGTCTTAATGTCCTGTAAGCTGTCATTTGAAAATCTAAAAAAATACTTAAAATTCTTGAGCCCAAAATGAAAAGTCAGCTGGTCATGGTGGCGTACACCTTTAATCTCAGAATTCAGGAGGCAGGAGAATCTCTGTTAGTTCCAAGCCAGTCTGATCTGCATAGTTCCAGAACAGCCAGGGTTATGTAGAGAGACCCTGTCTCAAAAATCAAGAAAAAGAAAAGAGAAGGAAGAAAAAAAAAATACCCCAGTTTGGGGAGATAGCTTAGTGATAGTGTTTGCCCAGAACACATGAGGCCCCAATACTAAAAACAAAAATTTAACAATAAATTCTTCAGTTTATCATCCGTGACATTGTAACACCAATAATACCTAGTTTATAGATATTTGATTAAATGAGTAAGTAATTTGCATCTGTGCCTGGCACATCATCATCACTCAGCGTGATGCTATTGTCATTCCTAACGTTGTCCAGAATCACAAGGGGTGGCTAACTGTCCACAAATCACTAAGCTGGATATCTTACTGTGTGACATTCTTGTAACAACTTAAATATGGGTAAAGGTTGATGTGCAGTTCTTGATAATTTTTCCACCAAGAGAAACATGTCCTCTTGTGGGAGCATTTATCAGATATTAAAATAAAGATTTTCCTACATTTATGTTAATGCCATTACTTGTAATTATCTTCAAAATAATTTAGACTCTTTTGAAAATCAAGAATAATAAATTATGATCAACAAGGTGGCTCAGCAGGTAACAGTGCTTGCTGAGTAAGCCTGGAAACCTGAGTTTGATGCCTGGAATTCACATAAAGGTGGAACAGAAGAATTGACTCCACAGTTCTCCTCTGACCTCCACAAGTCCACCATAGCGTGCCTGCCCGTACACGTATGTCATGCATACTTATGCAGTGATCACTAGGTTTTTAAGAGAATGAAAAGATAATCAGTGGTGATGGTTCAGGCCTATAAAACCAGCACCCAGGAAGCTAAGGCAGTAGCATTGTGAATTCAAGGCCACCCTGGGCTATACAGCAAGACTTTCTTGGGAAAGCATAACTAGCAGAAGTATTCCGAACTGGAAGTATAGCTTTATAGAAACCTGCCTCTCCTGTGTGAATCCTGCAACTACCAAAAGAAAAGCTTGTTATATGTTGAAGATACAGTAATATGTCATTCTGTGGCCATATTTTATTTTCAAATTACTTTAAAGTTACACTTAATAAAGCAAAAGACTGGTCGATGGCATTAGTTAACATTGGAAAGCACAAGCCTGTGTTGGGCCGATGAGTGTCAGTGCCACAGCTGGACGGATCCCTAGAAATGTGCTATGTGATTGCCAGGCGAGCGGCCTGCTACTGACCTTCAGCCCCAGCCCTACTTTACTTCTTTAAGCCTTTTCTCTCGTCTGCTTGTGGTAGTGCCTTTTCCTTACACACTGTTGTGAAAGCTAGAGGCACGCAAAGCAAAGTGTGAGAGCCTGGCTATGGAAATAGTTGGTAGATGGTAGCTGAAAGATGTTAGTGCGGATTCGTAATGAAGAAAATTGTTTCTCAGGTCACACAAACTAAAAGATAACTGAAGATCAACTGTTAGTTAACCCTCTTCTAGGTGTCTGTATTGGTCAGGTAATAGGACAGAACAGGGATGGATCATAGCACAAGCTAAATCCCTACGACTGGCTTAAGAACACTTGATATATGTGCTTTGTTTGCCTGAGAAGTCTTCAGACATCTTACTTGATTTGATGCTGTGAACTTTGGAGAACTTATCTTCCCAAAAGATAAATTTTTGATTTTGTTTTGATTTGTTTCTTTTCTATAGAAAAATTTCCAGAGGTCGACCAGTATGAAATAATAGAATCCTTCAATGTTGTTGCAAAGGAGGTTTTCAGAAGTATTATTTTGAATGAATACAAAAGGTAACCATATTCTCCTGTAGTAGAATTGAGGCAGGTGCTGTACCTGCAGGTTGCCTTGACAGTAGGAGGGAACTGGGTGTTCGTTTTAGACGTGAGCACCTGGCAAGTGTATGGACTGTGTGGCTGTGGCTCTCTTGATGTACAAACACACCTCCAGACACTGATTCAGTGGGGCCCAAGTATTTACATCAGTGTTTACAATTCTAACAAGTTACTGTAGGCCACTGGTGTTGAGAACTTAATGGCAGAGATAAAGATTTTTCTGACTTCCTGTATGACTTTACTACTTTATTACAGGTGTGATGGACGGGATTTGACTTCACTTAGGAATATAAGTTGTGAGGTAGATATGTTTAAAACACTTCATGGATCAGCATTATTTCAAAGGGGACAGACACAGGTAAAATATGTTTGAAAGTTATTTCTTTAAATATATTTGCAGTGTAGATGCTATAAGTTTGTTTCGTGTTTTTGTTTTTGTGTATGTGTTTGAACTAGGGAGTCTCTTTTGTTGTTTACATCTACATTTGCATGGAAAGCAGGACTGAGCTGTTGTCTCCACTCCCCATCTCCTCATAGGTGCACCGGAATTATAGATGCATACTGCTATTGCCCAACCCTTTCTTGGATCCTTTGGTTGATTTTAGAGATTTTGTTTTGTTTTGTTTTTCAAGACAAAGTCTCTTTAGCCCTGGCTGTCCTGGAACTCCCTGTGTAGACTAGGCTGGCCTCTAACTCACAAAGATAGATCCACCTGCCTCTGCCCCCCAAGTGCTGGGATTAAAGGCATGTGCCGCCACCACCCAACACATTTCAACTTTCTTATAGTAGCCTGGTGTATCTTGAGTTCTGATGTAGTTAATCCATCTCCTTTTTTTTTTTTTTTTTGAGCATCACTCCTTATTCCCAGAATGACAAAATTATGCACATTTGATTTTCTTTCTTTTAACTTTCAGGCATTAGCTATTAAATTTAGACAGTTAATTTATTTTGGAATATATTGCTGCATATGGTCAATAATGAAACCAATTCACTAATCATTTATTTTTTTCACTGATTTTCTATAACAACTTATATTCAAAGTTTATAAATATTTTTTTACAAAGTTTATAAATACATTTTAAAACTATACTCTTCATTGTTCTGTGGGTTTTCTGGCCAATTTCATTTTCATTATCAAGCCTTTGGGTACACCTTAATGCCTATGAAGTACATCTTCCCTGTTTACATATCTTTCCCTACAAAACTGTTTTAGCTTTTCATGGTATATTGTTTCCTTCATTTGAATGTTAGAACTATGTCAGTTTCAAACAGCCCTTTGAATTGCACTGAATTCAAGTGAATTCAAATTGCACTGAACTAAATATGTTTGAGAAAGAAATGGTAGTCTTACCATTTGAATCAGTGCTTTCAGTGAATATATTGTCTCACTTTTGATTCATTTCCTCTTGTGCCTTTCAATGAAACATTAAAGATATGTCCAATTAGATGCTCTGGATACTTTTGTTACCTCTTCTCACCATCTCTGCCTTTTAACTAGAGTGCATGGTCAATTTATGCTTAATTAATGACTGGTGTGATCACACTTAGGCCTGTTACTTCGTTATTTGTTTCTCTGATCGACCTTTTGTTTCCCTCCTCCTGCCACTTTGCATGTTTACTAGAATTCCGCTTTAGTTACATTTGCTTCATCGCTGCACCTATGCATTTCTCTGTGGAGATTACAAGGATGGTAGACATCTTTGATTTCTGAGTCTAGAGTAAAATAAGGAAGCTTTGCAGCCATTCCCATGGGTTTCCATCCCTTCCATCCTTATACTCTAGTGTGTCAAGTTACATCTACATGCACCGTATGCCCACAGGGCAGTACTGTAACTGTTACTTTGAACGGTGATGTGCATTTAAAATAGGAAAAAGAAAGTCTTATTTTTATTCTGACCCCATTGTAATATTTGCCATACCTGGTATTTTTTCATACCTTCAAAAATGTGTCAGTGCTACATCAAAGAAGAGTCTTTCTCCTGGAGTAGTTTATACCAAGAGTGAGCCCAAATTTGAGTTGTCCACTTCCTGTGTCTTCCATCTGCCACTCTTGTCTCATTCCAGCAGTGGACTTTGCTCTGTGCTTATTGAACAGCACAGAAAACATGATATGTCTTTACCAGAGTTCACAAGGGAAGAAACTATATCCACTGTTACCACAAACAGTTATGGTGGATACTTGCCTTCTTTAAGGCTGCTTTCAATCTATTGGCTGCTGTCAGCAAATGATCATCATAGCTCACACACATACAAAGTTCTGGAAAACTTACAAAGAAAAAACAAGGCATAGTAAGGTTGGTTACATTGCTTTCTTAAAGGTTACTTAAACAGGCTGATTGCACCATAGCACAACATATATTGTGCTAAATATTCATGAATACTTCCTTTTGGTTTTAATCTTTGTTGTTAATATTTTAAAACTTAAAGAATAATTTTGTTCTTTTCTTAGGTACTCTGTACTGTTACATTTGATTCATTGGAATCCAGTATTAAGTCGGATCAAATTATAACAGCTATAAAGTAAGTTATATTTTTATGTTTTATTTTGTGTTCTTTCACCAAAAAATCTTGTGTGTGTGTGTGTGTGTGTGTGTGTGTGTGTGCGCGCGCACTCGCACGCACGCACGCACGCGCTAGTATTTTATTCTACTCTCACCACTAGCAAACCCTTAAAGGGCATTGCATTGCTGTTCTGATTGTGTTTTTTTGAGATAAGGCCTCAGTCTATAGCACAGGCTTGCTTGAGGTTCATAGCAATCATCCTGCTTCAACCTGCTGAGTGCTGGAATCATAGCTAGGAGCCCCCATAGCAGACTTGGTTATTACTTTTATAGCCTGTTTCTCTGTACGCTTCATTTTCTGTCTACATGGTCAGAACTGCCAAGAATACTTCCCTGTTGGTGGACCATATTTTCTTCTAAATCGTTGGTTTGGAACACATTTACAAAGCATTTATTCTGTGATGTGATTACATTTAGTTTATGTCCCTAGCAACATTCCCCATGACCAAGTTCTTAGGTAATCTTGAATAAAGTTTGTATTACAAAATCGAGAACAAACACATGAGTGAAATCCCGGATGCTAAAAATAAGCCAGAGACTATTAATGAAAACCGTCTGGTCTCAACTGATAAGTAATTTTGTGCTCCCCTCCTGTTCCTTCAAACTCAGCAGTAAAATCGTTCATCTGCTCAAGGTAATATCTCCATCAGCCCCACTGCATCATGGTCTGGTGGTAGTAACCTATCATGTTTTCAGGATTGCTACCTCCATCCCTGTTTTCATGTACATAATAAATTAATAGGTTGGAAACTGGAGATGTATGTAGCTCAGTTGGTAGAGTGTTTTCCTATTGTATACAAAGTCCTGGATTCAGTCTCCATTACCACCTGTGTCAGGCATAGTGGTGCACACCTGTAGTCAGAGCGCTGTGGAGTGGAGGCAGGAAGAGCAGCAGCCCACGGCTTATTCTTGACTACAGCCTAGATACATGAAACCCTGCCTCTAAAAAGCAGTAACAAAAGACTTTCTTTTTTTTTGAAAGAAAATTCCATTCTACAATCAATCTAGAATTCAATTTTAAGTCCCAGCTATTGTCAGACACCTTGCTCTCAGCTACTCAAGGGGCCAAAGCAGGAGCATTGGCTACTAAGGGGTTTAAGACCAACCTGAACAGCATAGCAAGAGACTATGCAAAACCAAAACAAATTCCCATCCATTCTCTGTTGAAGTTTTGAGTTTCAGACCAGCACTCATTAATACTCGACTGTTTTTCTGAAAGCATAATAAATAATTTTAGTGGTTTATGGAAGTAAATTTGCTTATGTCCTTATAATGTTTTTAATACCATTCCTTTTTCTTGTAGTGGGGTAAAAGATAAAAATTTCATGCTGCACTATGAGGTAAGATCATTTTTCTTCAACATTGTTATTGTGAAAGATTTCTATATACAGCAAAACTAAAAGAACTTGATAGTGTGCACACTCCCTCAGTCTTCCCATTAACATTTTATCATTTATATGTGAAAGCTGATTTGGTAATTATTTTATTGCTTAGAAAGAGACCTAGATGAATAGCTTTCTAGTCAGTAATTCCCTGTTCCCAGCCCCTACATGGTGGTTTATAACCACCCCTAACTCCAAATCTAATACCTTCAGGCCTCCATAGACACTAGGCACACGTGTACACAGACATGTAGGCAAAAAACCTTATACACATAAAATAAAAATAGATCTTTAAGTGAAATAAATTTCCATGACATTTCCTAATTTGCGAACACAGGAAGTACTTACAGATTGCTAATTTTAGTACTGTTTTTGGATTTTTCAGACAGACACATGGATAGATGATAGATAGATACATAGAAGATAGACAGACAGATAGATAATGTACTTTGTAGAACAAAAGTGGGGTTCTATTGTTCTGTAATTTGTTTTATGGTTTTGGTGATGTATCTTAGGTATCTTTCCATGTCACTTACGTGTGTGTGTGTGTGTTTTGTTTTGAAGTTTCCTCCTTATGCAACCAATGAAATTGGCAAAGTTACTGGTGTAAATAGAAGAGAACTTGGGCATGGTGAGTACATTTCTAAGCTTGTCTTGTAGTCTTAGAGAGCCTTAGTGCATTTTGCTCATTGTTTTGTATTCTGATTTAGGTGCTCTTGCTGAGAAAGCTTTGTTTCCCGTTATTCCCAAAGATTTTCCTTTTACCATAAGAGTCACATCTGAAGTCCTTGAGTCAAACGGTACGATATTCCAGTATTTCTTTCCTTAAAAAGACTAGAGCCTCAAGCCTGCTGTAGGAGAAATTATGTTAAGTTGATCATACCTTTGTCCTGAATCTGTTTTTAGCTACTAAGTTATTTTGAAAGCTCTTTAAAAATAAATATTCCACTTTTTGCATGTATTACAATACACCTGATTTGGGGAACTTTATTTATTTAATTTTTTTTTGCAAACAAACAACAGAGCAAGTTAATCTTGGAGGGGGATCCTTCTGACAAAGGATAGCTCCCACATATCAGATGACTAATAAGTGGGCATCAAGAGAGAAGCAAAGCTTGCAGGTCAAAGTTAAATAGAATACATTAGTCCACGAGTTAAGACTGGGTATTGTCAACAAAGGCAGAATGGGCAGAGTTCTTCAAGGTCTAGCAGGTGGTCACAGATTTTTAAGGCAACACCAAAGTTAGCCACCTTAGTCCTCACTGGATCTACCCTGGAGCTAGGCTGGCAGCCAGCAAGCCACAGTGATCCTCCTGTCTCTGCACCTCATGCACACCTGACCTTACATCCCGCATTTCTGTTATGCATAGTAGGGATTCAAACTCAGGTCCTGAAACTTATACAGTAAACACTCCTGCCCAGAGTCATCTCCCAGCCCCTTCAGTGAGTTTACACAGAAAGAAGAAAAGACTGCTGGGCGGTGGTGGCACACACCTTTAATCCCAGCACTCAGGAGGCAGAGGTAGGCGAATCTCTGTGAGTTCGAGGCCAGCCTGGTCTACAAGAGCTAGTTCCAGAACAGGCTCCAAAGCTACAGAGAAACCTTGTCTCGAAAAAAAGAAGAAAAGACTATTGACTATTTATATTCAAGTGTAGTATATTATAAGGAAATGAGACTAGTCTTTTTTCTGTATTTTAAGAAATTAATATATGACAAGTGGTTCTTTTTTATTTCAATAGGGTCATCTTCTATGGCATCTGCATGTGGGGGAAGTTTGGCATTAATGGATGCAGGTAAAAAAAATTGTGTTTGTAATGATACACGGCACGAGGTGGGACTGCTGATCCCATGGCGAGGGACAAAAACACCATTACACAGAGCTTACATGGAAAGGAAGTTTATTGGGAAAGAAAAGAAGGTAGAGAGAAAGAGACAGACAATGATCTGCTTGCTCAGAGACATAGAAGAAAGAGAATGGGTGTGGGTGGAGCTTGTTCCTTAAAGGAACCTTTACTACACCTACATAGAGTCAGGGTACTGCCTGCCGTGCGTGCTGGGGTGGCAGCTCTGCCTCTGCCAGATCCCAAAGGGACAGGGACAGGTTTATGTTTGCCTGGATGATAAAACTGTTAGTATTTTACATATATATTTCATTAGCACAGAATATAAGATTTGTTTAAATTGAATTTAATAAGTCAAAATAAGATTATAGATTACCAACCTAGGCCAGACACAAGATAATTACAAAGTAGAACATCAGAAAGCTATTGGCTGACATTCTTATTTTCAACTAAAAACACTGAATATTTGTAATACACTGAAAATTATATACTAGCCTTGGTGAGCCAATGAACTTTCCCCTTCCAGAATTGACTCCAGTCAATGAAGCAGTTTCAGTTAGTAAACAAAAGCATTGCAGTCCATAAGACAAAGTCACCCTGTAACCTTTGAGCCAGTTTGTAGTAGCCATGGAGAAAGTAGCATTCCATAAATATGCTCAGGATTTTAGGAAAGTATACTGAAAGTAGTTTGATGCAACCCCTGTCTGTGGTGAGCAAAATAGTCATTTCTATTCATAGAGGTGCAATTTCTCAGCCAAGTCTCATATTTAAAACAAAACAAAACGAAGTCCAGACTTCATATTTTAATCCCAGCACTTTAAGCAGAGTATATATGAGTATATATGAGCAGATCTATATGAGTTCAAGGCAAGCCAAACTGGCATAGTTTCAAAAAGAACTGCTTCTGTTTCAAAAGAACTCTGGAAAAGATTAATTGAAAGACGAAAGACTTTTTCTTTTCTCCTCAGAGAGGATCTTATGTAGTTCAGGCTAATCTTGAACTTGCTATGTAGACAAGGCTGACCATCTTACAGAATATGCCATCATAGCATTCCAAAAGACATCTTAAACTGTGGACAAAGATCTGTCCAAGACAATGAAAAAGGACTTTGAAGTTAGAATAATGCATTATATTGCCATTGCTGATGCACTAGCATACAAGGAATAAGCAGTTTTGATTTTGCAAGACTAGCACCTTCTATAAAACATGATTATAGAATGTCTTAAGACTCTTACCTCACTGTGCAGTGGTGGCGCATGCCTCTATTCACACCACTCGAGAGGAAGAGACAGACAGATCTCTGTGAGTTCGAGGCCAGCCTGGTCTACAGAGCGAGTTCCAGAACAGGCTCCAAAACTACAGAGAAACTGTCTCAAAAAAAAAAAAAAAGACTCTTAACTCATAAAAACAAACAAAACAGTATAGAGGCTGGACACATGTTAAGAGCACTGTCTTGATTCAGCTCCCAGCACTTACATAATGGCTCACAACCTTCTGTAACTCCAGTCTCAGAATACCTTATGCCCTCTGGCCTTATGGGCACTGAGCATGTATGTGGTGCTCAAACATACATGCAAGCAAAGCACTCATACACATAAAATAAATAAATAAAAATCTGTTTTTAAAGGAGGGAATGTATTTTAGAATGGAAAGTGGCTATAAAGAGAGCAGTGGTGGCGCATGGCTTTAGCCCCAGCACTTGGGAGGGATAGGCGGGCGATCTCTGTGAGTTCCAGGCCAGCCTGGTCTATAAGAGCTAATTCCAGGACAACTAGGGCTGTTATACCGAAAAAAAAGAAAGAAAGAGAACGAAAGAAAGAAAGGAAGGAAGGAAGGAAGGAAGGAAGGAAGGAAGGAAGGAAGAAAGAAAGAAAGAGAGAGAAAAGAACCAAAAGATACTAAGGAAAATAAGCCATACCCATAACTCATTTTGTTATTTTTGGAAAATAAAAATGACTAGATTCCAAGTGAGGTGGAGGGATACTTTTGACACAGTAGACCTAGAATCTGTCTTATCTGTCTTGACAGTGTATGATACCTTTATGTAAATAGTGTAGAAATTTAGACTAAATATAGGTGCATCATTCATGACTGGTTGAAGGATAAGCAGAGAGGACTGGTTAGGTTAATCAGTGTGTTGTGAAAGAGAGGTCCCAGGTAAAATATTTAAGGATGCTTCACATCAGCCCATTCCCTTTCCATAGTAAAACTGACACGACATGCAGCATACTCAGGATACTAGTAAGCAGGAATATGGAAAACTATGTCTACATTAGTTATTTTTCTGTTGCTGTGATAAAATGTCATGACCAAAGCAACTTATGAAAAATAAAGGTTTTGCTTTGCTGCCCATTTCAGAGGGATAAGATCTTAACCTGCAAACACAATGCAGAGAGAGTATAGTAGAAATGAGGCCAGTCTATGAACTCTCAAAGCCTGCCTCCATTGATAGACTTCCACCATTGAGGCCTAACCACCCAAACGGCACCACAACTGGGAACCAGGTGTTCAAATACCAGAATCTTTGAGGGACATTCTCATCCAAACCAACTCAATGTCCTAAACATTTTTGTACCCCCAGGTTAGAGCAAGAGTAATAGCTCAGAAGATAGGAGCATATACTGTTCTCATAGAGGACCCGAGTTCAGTTCCAGCACCCACTTCTGCTTATGACATCAGCTCTGAAGGGTCTGACCCCCAAGTATAGCGCACTCATTCACATGGTTAGAAAATAAATCTTTAACATAACAAACCTCCGGCTTACGGATATAACTGAGTGATACAGTGCTTGCTTAGCCTGCAGGAGCTAAGTTATCCCTCCCTATCACCACAACATACAAACAAACCTAAGAGCGGGTTATGGAGAGCTTAAAGGATTCTATGTTTTAGTTTTATTTAACTAGATTCTATTTCAGTAAAGAACTTCAGGAAACAGTTTGTGTATCACAAATAATAAAAACCCAAAGACAGATAAAGGGGTTAAAGCTGAAGATCAGAGAAGCAGAGCAGTCAGCCACTAGAGAGAACTTTTACCTCTCCCAGTTCTCAGAATGAAGGGGCAATGCTCAGACTGCACTGTGTCTACCAAACCTCAGACTCTACACTTCAGTGAGTTCCTATCTCTTCCCCCTTTGTATTCCTCCCTCTGCCCAGCCATATTGTTCCTGTCTCCACCTCCCTAGTGCTGGGATGAAAGGTGTGAACCACCACCACCCGGATCTGTTTCTGGATCGATCCTGTGTAGCCCAGGGTAGTTTGAACTCACTGAGATCTGTCTGCCTCAGTCTACAAATTCCTGGGATTAAAGCTGTGTACCTGCCTGGCCTCTAGTGGTTTAACTTTGCACTCTAATCTTCAGGCAAGATTTCTATTAAAATACAAATAAAATATCACTACAGGTTTGTCTAAGCAGAACCAGGCATGGCAAAGAGATCCAGGAGGAAGGAATAGGCAGATATGATACCACTGTAGGAACTGGTGAGGTACCTCATTGGTTAAGAGCATTTGATGCTCATTCAGAGGACCTGGATTTGGTCCTAGCACCCATATAGTAGCTCACAGCCATCTATAACTCAAGTTCCAGGGAATTCATTGCATTCTTTTGGCATCCACAGGCAGCAGGCACATACCTGGTGCGCTGACATACATTCAGGCAAAACACTCATATATGAAGTAAAATAAATCTTTAAAAAAAACACACTTCAGTAGTAGTTAAAAGCTGTAGTATAGATATGATAGCTTAGAAGGAATGAAAGGAGCTATCCAACATATTACTGTATTCTGAAATAAATTCCAAGTGGTCAAAACGTAAGCTTTAAGGATAAAAGAGGAAAAACAAAACATTTTATTAAAACATGGAGAAGAAATTCCTTTCTAAGCAAAATCTAGAAACCATGACTTCATAAACTATAAAAATTCTACCTTGAAAAGCACCTCACTATTATTAAAGTGAATAAGCTAAGCAATAACAAGTTTTAATTTAATAACAGTCTATTGCTTGTAATGGAAGAGCTCCTGCAGCATTAAGAGAAGAAAAGATTTTCAAGGGTATACACAAGTCAGTATGAAAAGACAAATAACAAAGTAAAATAAAATTGTACCATATTAACATAAACAAAAAAAGAAACCAACAAATCAAAATCAAAAAATAACCAGTTTTACTTTCTCAATTAACAAAAATAAAGTTGGGGGATTAACAATAATTATCAAGAAAGACTTGAGGGTCAGAGCAGGAAGAACAGGAATTCAAAGTCAGCCTTGACTATATAACAAATTCTAGGCCATCCTGGACGACACGAGAGTAAGGTACATTAAGTGTATATCTTTGGAAGGTAGTTTGATGGTTTGAAGAAGCATCAATGTCCATGCCCTTTAACTAAGCACCTCCTCTATGGCTTATCAGAGAGATGGTTCCGTGCCTGCACAGAGGCCTGATGACCTAAGTTTGATCCCAGGATCCCACAGAGTAGCAAGAAAACAGACTCCGGAACTGTCCTCAGCTCTACATGCACACAGTAGAACACGTGTCTACACTTAGACTTAAATGCACAAAATAACATTAAAATTTAAAACTTCAGAGTTTTGTTTCATCTGGAAGTGGTATAGCATATCTGTAATCCCAATACTTCTGAGGCAGAAGCAGAGAGATTTCTGAGTTTAAGACCAGCCAGGACTACACAGTGAGGTGCTATCTTAATTTAAAAATAGTTTTATATGTGGGAGCCATGCATAGTAGTACATACTTCATCCTTGTAACTGTAGCACTTGGGAGACTAAGGCAGGAAGGTCTTATCTCAGAATAATGAGAAAATCACGGATATTTTATTTTTTTATTACATGTATATGGGGGTTACTATGTAGTAGGTTTTTACTAAATAAAAAGAACAAGGTAACAGATAATACTTATATCATGTTTCTCACAAATAAGAATTTTAAAGATTATGTTTATAATTGTAGCTATATACACAAATTTTCTAAAGGCTATTCCAATAGTACTGCCATGGGGAGATGAACTGAAAGGTTCAGGCTTAGACAATTTATCAAATAAAGGGTTTGAAGAAGAAACCAAAAGCAAAATAGCAGAGCATAGATAACTTAAGAATTTGCTCTCTTAGGTTTTTGCCAAGTATAGTTCTTTTTATCTGTTACTTTACAGGTCATTATTAAAGGATCAAAAAGAAATGAGATGGGACCTTTTCAGCTCGATTTGATGACTTAGAGAATACCATCTCCTTACATTGAAATAATGTCAGCAGAATTTGAGCATGTTTCATGCTACTACATGTATTATACACAAACCCTGTTTTTCATTATAGGGGTCCCAATTTCATCTGCTGTTGCAGGTGTAGCAGTGGGATTGGTTACCAAAACCAATCCAGAGAAAGGTGAAATAGAAGATTATCGTTTGCTGACAGATATTCTGGCAAGTATATTCCCAGTTTGGAATATTTACAAGTATATTTAAAAGTACATGCCTAGACCAGTCATGATGGCATATGCCTGAATAGGCTTAGGGCAGAAAGTCACTAGTCATAGTCTAACCTAAGATTACGTAGCAAGTTCTAGGACACCATGGGCCATGTGGTGAGACAAAACAAAAAATGCAAAACAAATCAAAGACATATAAAAGCCTCAGCCTAGAACAGTGGTTCTAAACGTGTGGGTCCTGACCCATTTGGGAGAGGTCGAATGACCTTTTCACAGGAGTTACCTAAGACCATTGTAGAACATAGATACATACATTGTGATTCATAACAGTAACGAAATTACTGTTTTGAAGTAGCAACAAAAATAATATTATGGTTGGGGGATCAGCACATCATGAGGAACTGAACTAGAGGGTCAAAGCGTTAAGAAGGGTGAGAATCACTAGAAGAATGCTTGTACTTCTGGAGTATAGATACAGTGTTTATTTCCTGTTTGCCTTGGATTCTAAAGGATATGTATACTTATCCTGAATGGCTTCCTCTGGGGTAATTCTAAATTAATTTTTATGTATTTATTAGGAACAGGCATGAGCTAAACATAAGATGATATTTCCAGTGACAAGCTTTGTGCCCTGGAGCAGCAGCTGAGCGGCAGAGGTGGCTCTTGCCTTTAACGTTAGAGGACACACCTTACTTCCAGAGCTAGGACTTGAAATTCCCCTACTGTGACTATAGGTGAACTTTGTTTAAAACTTTACCATAATTTCTTAAATTGTTGAAGGGAATTGAAGATTACAATGGTGACATGGATTTCAAAATAGCCGGTACAAATAAGGGAATAACCGCATTACAGGTACCACCTTGTTTCATTTTTTAAAGGTTAAATAATGACATGGACCACTGTTTATTTATTTATTTATTTATTTATTTATTTATTTATTTTGGCTGTTCTCTATCAGGCTGATATTAAATTACCTGGAATACCAATTAAAATTGTAATGGAAGCCATTCAGCAAGCATCAGGTAAGTCACTACGCCTCACACTGCTCTCATTTCTGTCTAACTTGTTAATGGGACCTTTAATTCCCACTAAGTTTACTATAAAATGTGTGGCTGACTGGAAGAATGTTTACCCATGATGTATTGGGTCAGATCCTCAGTACCATCAAAACAGACGAGTGGGGCCCTGTAACTTAGCATGATCAAGTATTAATTATTGATTACAGGACTGACTACCCAAATGAAAGAATAGTGAAATTTTAATTTTTACAAGGTAAGCAACTTTCTGAGCTAGGAGTTTGGAGGAGTTTGGAATAGATAAGATAATTAAGGTAATTAGAATATAAAGAGTTTCCATTAGTGAGCTAGAGTTTTGATTATACACCAGAGAAAATGAGAGTGAAACTATTTCAGATCACACACTTAGAATTTTTATTCTGGTGGTATTTCTTCTAGTGGCAAAGAAGGAGATATTACAGATAATGAACAGAGTAATTTCAAAACCTCGATCATCTAGAAAAGAAAATGGACCAGTTGTAGGTAAGACATTAAACTTATTACTGATAGCTTGATAAACATTAATGTTTAAACATTTGTCACTATTTTAAAGTGCTTTTCTCTTATCAAAATAAAAATAAGTACATTTTTCTAACTACTTTGAAAGAAAATTCTTTTACAATCATTCGTTTATTTGTGTGTGTGTGTGTGGTGTGTGTGTGTGTGTGGGTGGGTAGGCATGCACATGCTACACTCTGTCTGGCAGTCGAGACCAGCTTCTGGGGATTGAAGCTCTCCTACCATGTGAGTGCTGGGAATTGAACTCAGGTTATTAGGCTTGGCAGCACATCTCTACCCACTCAACCATCTTACCAGCCCTAGAAAATATTTAAAATGTTCTTCCCATAAAGAAATAGAAAAGTGAGAACATACATGTTTATTCAGATTTAAACATTACACTATGTATACATGTATTAAAACATCACAATAAATACATAAAATTTGTGTTCATATAAATCATTTAAAAGATAAATTTGTTTATGTTGAAGGAAAACCAAACTTTAAATTTGAGAACGTACTCTTCTACATTTTTCAATACTTTTAATCACAGCAAATTTCTTTTATTTCATAATGAAAGATCTCTACATACGTTTAGGTTCCTATGTCTTTGGCTTCTTTATATGATTGTCTGTATTGCATTTCAGAAACAATTAAAGTTCCATTATCAAAACGAGCAAAATTTGTTGGACCGGGTGGATATCACATAAAAAAACTTCAGGCTGACACAGGTAAGAGTTGTCTTAAGTTTGAGCGTATCATTAAATGCCAAATCATATAAGTTTGCTATTTTTCTCTAGTGTGTTACTCCAGAAATAGTATTTGAGAGATAAAAGATAAGAAGGAAAGTATAAGATGTCTTGCCTGTGAGTATTCTTTTGGAATTTTTAGCAAGTCAACAAATCTTAACGCTGAACTATATTCAGGAAGGATAAAGCAGCATGGCGGGTCATACCTGTGATCCCACTATTTGATGACAGCCTGGAGACAGACGTAGCAAGAGCCTGTCTCACAGAAGAGAAAGACAAAATCCATCATACTCCTTCCACATTTAAAACTGAACATTCCCAAATAATTTCTAGCTTTTTATAACTAAATAACTTACGGGTTATTAACTCCTCCTACTTGTGCAGTTTTGACTGAGTTTCATTTAAGCTCTTGTCTAAAGAGTATATGCAGAGACAGGTACATTCAGGCAGGCAGCTGGCAGGCAGTTCCGGGGTAGCCTGGTCTACATACTGAGTTCCAAGCCAGCCAGCAAAGGCTACATTTATTTGAGACTTTGTTTCAAAACAAAAACAACAAGAATATATGCAGAAATGGTCACATTTTAACTTGTTTCATCTAGAAACAATGTTGAGATGACTTAATAGTTGTATTTTGAGTTTGCTAAAAGACAAGAAGCAGAGGTGCCTTAACCAGTGTTAAGAGTAAGAAACTGACATGATTCATTCTAAAAGTGGAAAGTAAAAGAGGACGGTGAAAATGTTCTACAATCCCCAGTCACAATGGAAGAGTAAAACAAAAGCCTTAAAAATTAGCCCTGCTGGGATAGGACATGGCTCACTGTTATATCCACAGGACCTAGTAAAATTAGCCCTGTTGGCCAGGCAGTGGTGGTGCACACCTTAAATCCCAGCACTGAGAAGGCAGAGGCAGGCGAATTTCTGTGAGTTCGAGGCCAGCCTGGTCTACAAGAGCTAGTTCCAAGACTGGCTCCAAAGCTACAGAGAAACCCTGTCTTGTGGGAGTAAAAACAAATGAGCCCTGATGGGTTACGGCATGGTTCACTGTTACATTCATGGGACCTCACACAGTGCTGGGCACTTGGTGGGAGAGCAGGGTGAGCTTCATGATGAGTGACTCCATCACTAAGAACAGTCATTAGACAGGAGAAACCCAACCCAGGTGCTTCCAGATCTCTCCCTGTTCTCACATTCCTTTTTGGATTAGTCTCCTCTGGCATGAGTTTGTTAATTTTAATGTATCTCTATTTTGACTCCCATCCCTCACCATGATGCTGGGTTTATTCTAAAGGTGTAACAATTAGTCAGATTGATGAAGAAACCTTCTCCATATTTGCACCAACACCTAGTGCAATGCATGAGGCAAGAGACTTCATTACCGAAATTTGCAGAGATGATGTAAGTACAGATCTTAGGAGTGTTTTTTTCCTATTTTTTTTCCTGTTATCTTTATTTACCTAATGATTTTTTACTTTACAGCAAGAGCAACAGTTAGAATTTGGAGCAGTTTATACCGCTACAATAACTGAAATCAGGTAATTACAAATAAACAATGGGTTCGATTTGTGAGGGGGGAGTGTTTTGAGACAGGGTTTCGTTGAAGCTTTGGAGCCTATCCTGAAACTAACTCTTGTAGACCAAGTTGGCCTCGAACTCACAGAGATCTGCCTACCTCTGCCTCCCGAGTGCTGGGATTAAAGGCGCGTGCCACCACCGCCCAGCATGGGTTTAATTTTTACTGCAAGCCCAGATTCACTTTGTATTTAGATATATGCCAATAACCGTGTGTGTGTGTGTGTGTGTGTGTGTGTGTGTGTGTGTGTGTGTGTGAGAGAGAGAGAGAGAGAGAGAGAGAGAACACATTTGTGTGTAGCTGGGAGTGACTTTTCACTGTATGTGTTGACTGTTGATGTTTTGCCTGCATGTATGTCTACCCACCATGCCTGAAGAGACAAGAAGAGGATGTTGAATTCCTAGGCACTAGAGTTAGACAGTTATGTGCCACTAGGCAGGTGTTGGGAATCGAACCTGAGTTCTCTGGAAGACCAGGAAGTGCATTTAACCACTGAACTTCCCTCCAGGCCCACCCCCTTTTGTGTTTTATTATGTTTGTTCTCTGTTTTATGTATACACCTATTTTGCATACATATATATTACACCATATGTGTGTCTGGTGCCTACAGAGGTCAGAAGAGGACATCAGATTCCCTTGAAATAGAGTTACAGATAGATGTGATCAGTTGTGATGCTGACACTCAAACCCAGGTCCTCTGGAAAGGCAGCCAGTACTCTTAATTGCTGATCCATCTTTGACTGTGAACTTCTGATTCCCCTGCTTTCACCTCTGGAATACTGGGAGGTGTGCACAACGGTGACTTGCTTTGGTAGTGTTGGGGCCAACCCATAGGCTGTGAGCATGTGAGCCCTCTACAGCTGAGCTACACCTCTAGCCCCATCTATTTTTTGTTTTTTTAGCTAATTTTATTTTCTGTGCCACTGTAGTTTTCAGTAACATGTTTTATAATTATAATAGATTCTGACATGAGAATTTTTTTCTTAAACCAAATTTTTTACCATATTTTATTTTCAAACTATATTTTATACCAATTTTATTTTCCCCCAAACCATAAACCTAAAACATACAAATGAGTATTTCCTTTTTATTGTTATTGTTTTTGTTTCTACGTCATTATTTGATATTTAATTAACACATTTTTAAATCACTTTTAACCTCAAAAGTATTTTTACCAGCTGAAATTATCTCAAGATGCCACTTCTGCCAGGCGTTGGTGTGTTAGACCCCGCCTTCCAGTGGATACCCACACCCGATTCAGGCGCGTGCCTTCCCGAACTCGGGCCCACGAGAATGGACGACTGTCCTGAGGGTTTAAAGCAGACACACACACAAAAAAAGAGACCTTTGCTCATTTACCAAGAGTAAATGGCAACTTTATTAAACTCAAGTCGAGTATTTATACCAGTGGGCAACCGGGATCAAAAGGGCAAGGCCTCCTCCCATCCAGGAGCAGGAAGGAGAATAAAGGCCCCAGTAAAGGAAAACTCCTCCCACCCAGAGGGGGCTGGGGAAACTGGCCTCTGTGGGAGTTTTTCCCCAGGCAGGTGGTCGAGGGTTCAAGACAATGTCAGACAGGTTAGATGGGCCTTGGTGCCTGAGCTTCTTTGAGGCAGGTTGAGAAATTACCATTTTAAAGTAAAATAGATCCCTCAGGCTAATGTACCAGGCTGTAGCAGAACCAAGGATGGAACTAGCAGGAAGCTTAGCTGGTTAGCGTAAACATTATTTGCATCCAGTATTTTGGTCTCAAGGATCAGGGAGGACAGGGTCCCACAGTGGTGGTGCATGCCTTTAGTCCCAGCACTCGGGAGGCAGAGGCAGGTGGATCTCTGTGAGTTCGAGGCCAGCCTGGTCTACAAGAGCTAGCTTCAGGACAGGATCCAAAGCTACAGAGAAACCCTGCTTCGGAGGGAGAAAAAAAAAAGGAAGACTTTATTTTGAATATTTCTTGAAAGTTTTTTAAAACTAATGAAAGAGAATGGGATAATCTTTTTAACATTACAGATGAAAAACAAGCAATGCAATTGATTGTTTTCAGACTAGAGAAAAAAGGAGAACTTTTTACAGCCATCCATTCATAATTCCAGGATATATGATGCCCTCTTCTGACCTCCACATGGTGCACAGACATACATGTATACTTACAGGCAAAAATGTACATATTAAATAAATATAAAACGTTATAAGTTCTGAAGAGAAACACAGGTGAATACATATTATAAAAACTTTTCCTTTATCTTGTCCATTTTTTAGTCACAAATGTTTAAATATAGGGCATAATTTTCTATTGAGAAACAATTATTTGGGCTCAGGATATGTGGTATATTATTAATGATCTTATTAATTATGTATGAGGTCCTAGGTTCAATTCCAAGTACTAACAGACAGGAAAGAGAGGGACAGACTGGAAAGATAGATGGCTCAGTGGTTAAGAGCACTGACTGCTCTTCCAGAGCTCTTGACTTCAATTCCTAGCAACCACAAGGTGGCTCACAGCCATCTATAATGAGATCTGATGCCTTCTTCTGGCATGCAAGCATACATGGAAGGAATGTTGTATATATAATAAGTAAATAAATCTTTAAAAAAAGAAGAATAAGAAGAAAAAGAAGAATAAGAATGTATCCTAGAAGCCAGGCATGCTGGTACATGTACATACCTTTGGTCCCAGTATTTGGGGCAGAGTCAGGTGGATCTCTGAGTTCAAGACCAGCCTGGTCTACAGAGTGAGTTTCAAGACTACACTGAGACCCTGTCTAAAAAAGAAAAGAAAGCAAGAATAATATATCCTTGAATGTAGTCTGGAGATTGGTTTGACACCTGCTTCTGTGAAAGCATCAGCTCTGTTTGTCCGTCCATGTACTTACTGTTTTAACCAAGCTGATGTCTTTTTGTAGAGACACTGGCGTAATGGTAAAACTGTATCCAAACATGACTGCTGTGCTACTTCATAATACACAACTTGACCAGCGAAAGGTGAGAAGGCCAGATTTGTGTGTGTGGTGAGTGCACGGTGTGATCACACACGTGTATGCATGGAGAACAGAGGAGCACAGGGTGTCCCTTGAGCCGTGCTCTCTACAGCTGCAGTTTACCATTCCTCATCCAGGCTGGTGGCCAGCACTTCCAAAGATCTTCCCTTTTCTATTCCCCAACACTGGGGTCATAGTCCATGCATAACTATTCCTGGGGATTTAGACAGACGCTGAGGATTTGAACTTAGGTCCTCGTTTTTGTGCAGCAAGTATCCTTATTTTCTGAACCATCTCCGCATCTCAGACTTGACTTTCTGTAATTGTTAGAAATAACTAATATTAAAATTACCTGAACTGTTGAGAATTGTATATTTTGCCTAGTAACAGTCTAAGTACACCAGGCACTAATGTTCACAGTGATGAAATGTAAAGAAACTGAACAGCCCTCTCTAAAGGACTATAATTGGAATATTCACCTATAATGCTTCAGTTATTCATATGAAAGGACATTTTTGGGTTTTTGTTTGTTTTTTTCATGATTTTTCAAGACAGGGTTTCTCTTTGTAACAATCTTAGCTGTCCTGGAACTCACTTTTGTAGGCCAGGGTGGCTTCCATCTTGCAGAGATCTGCCCGCTTCTGCCTCTTAAGTGCTGGGATTAGTGGCATGTGCCACCTCCGCCTATGAAACGGCAGTCTTAACATATTGAGTAAGCCACATCCCCAACCCATGGTTTTTTGAGACAGGGTTTCTCTGTAGCTTTGGAGCCTGTCCTGGAACTAGTTCTTGTAGACCAGGCAGGCCTCGAACTCATAGATCTGCCTGCCTCTGCCTTCAAAATGCTGGGATTAAAGGTGTGCCACCACCGCCCGGCCTCAGCCCACATTTATACTGTACACGAAATAGACATTTGAAGGGCTAGACACTGAAGTGGTAACAGTAGTTTTCATTTTCTTCTGATTACTTTTATGTTGTTTGCAATGTTTGTAATTAATAGATGTCATTAGAAAAACAAATATAGCTATTCACTTAGGGAAATGTGCTGACTTCTGTGGTTACTGGATAATTATATATAACTAATTAATTTTTTTTTAGATTAAACATCCCACTGCCCTAGGATTAGAAGTTGGTCAAGAAATTCAGGTACTTGTGTTCAATGTATTATCTTTAAAGTTGTGAATTGAACTTAAGATTCCAATTAGTATCTATGAAGGAATAGACTATCACCTCTGGCTTATATTTCTGTACACTGCTTCTTTAAGAAGTCAGGGTAGCTTAACCAGACTTGCTAAGGATTAAGAGTAAGATCTTTTCCCTCAAGTAGCTTTCAATTTAGCTTTAAGAAAGAAAGGGGGGGGGGGGGGGGGGGGGATGGAGGATAGAGAGAGAAAGAAAGAAAGAAAGGAAGGAAGGAAGGAAGGAAGGAAGGAAGGAAGAACTCCACCTTTAGAGTTGTGCAGTCTTGTCATTTGGAGACAGACTTGATAACATGGTGGAAAGCTGTGTCATCTTGGAGCAAGTGAGACTCTGTACTTGACATTAAATGTTTGTGAACTAAGAGTACTGTTGCTGGGATCTAGAATTCTGATAGTTAAACTGGCCCTGTCTTGTAGTCCTCTATCAGTGAACAGATTGTTGCTGATCTGAGTGTGTTCTGTTGGTTATACCAGAGTAAATATGGCCACAAGTGTATTCCCCATCTGAGCTTCTGGTGTTTAAACAGCTCTGGGGAAAGATGAGGGCCAAAGAGCATCTCTCCAAATGTTTGTGCTGTACATCAAAGGGGACTTTAAGCCTGTTGCATTGTTCCCCTGTTTTATTTCTTCATGGAACAGTATATGCTAATGCAATGGTCCCCAAGTCATAGAGAAAAAGCCCTTAACTGAATTGTGACTTTGGACGTACAGTATAGGGACTTAGAAACCATAAAAGGCACAGTTAGTTTATCAGAAACAAAACTAAATGTCTTTTGCCCTTTTTGGTTGATTGGTTTATTGATTGGTTTATTTTAGTCAGTGTCTCAGGCTAGCATCAAACTCAAACCTCCTGCCGAGTGCTGGGATTCCAATAGGGCACTATACTTTGATTCCTTTTGTCTTTTTATAACAGCTATTTAATCAGAATATATTTACTCTGTCTCTATTACTGAGCAGTGCTTTTATTAGACACAAATATTAATTATTGCCTTATCTGCACAACATAAATTTAAATGTCTTTTTCAACTTTAAATATGCTTCTTTTACATAGGTCAAATACTTTGGTCGTGATCCAGCTGATGGAAGAATGAGGCTTTCCCGCAAAGTCCTCCAGTCTCCGGCTATAACTGCTGTCAAAACTCTAAATGATAGAAGCAGCATTGTAATGGGAGAGTCTGTTTCACAGTCGTCATCCAACTCTTCCCCTTGACTCCTTTTGGAAATGGTATTCCACAGTGATTTCTGCAAAGCAAACTTTAATAGTCCCGTTTAATGTGTAGATTTCTATATAATTTAAATATATTTGTATTAAAATGCTCTTTTCTGTAGGTGGAGTTTTCTGTATTGCCAGCCAGTTCCCAAATGACAACATAGAGACTTACTATTAATTGTGAAAACTCAGCCAATAGCTTGGCTTGTTTTTAGCTAGCTCTTATAACAACCCGTTTCTAATCTATGTGCTGTCCAACGGCTTGTTTACCTCTTCTATATAATATCCATCCTGCTTGTGCCTGGAAATCCTGCCTATCTATTGGCTGTCCAACTCTTTAGTAAATCAATCCAAGTGGTATATCTTCACAATGTACGAAAAGATTATTCTACAGTACATTTGATGTGCCTTTTAAATTTCAGGATCAGCCTATATTTGCCTTATTTATATATAAAACCAATAAGTATTTATCATTTAAAGTAATCTATTTTTAGGGGGCCTGGAGAGAGGGCTCAGGGATTAAGAGCACCGCCTGCTCTTCCAAAGGTCCTGAGTTCAATTCCCAGCAACCACATGGTGGCTCACAACCATCTGTAATGAGATCTGGTGTCCTCTTCTGGCCTGCAGGCATACATGCAGGCAAAACAGTGTATATATAAGTAAATAAAAAAGTAAAGCTATTTTTATATCTTAGGACAGATTACCTTTTTGTTTCTCTAATTGTAAACTACTGAAAAATGTATGCTCTCCTAAGGCTCTTTTCCACTGCCTTCCTTCTCATATTTGTTAATGACCATTCTGCCTTAGGCATCTTATGGCTCACCTCTACCCAACAACTGTGCCTAGCTACTGCTGTTTTGCATACTAGAACTTGCCATTTTGAAAGCCAGAACCTTTTCTTCACCGTAATTACACATTTAATTGTCATTGAGGGAGCTAATTTGGTTTCATTTTTAATGGTATTCTTTTCACAAAACCATAAATATAGTGAGATGAATCTTATAAATGAGATTCTCACTAGAGTGAATTTTTTTTTCTTGGGTTTTTCCAGACAGGGTTTCTCTGTGTAACCGCCCTAGCTGTCCTGGAACTCACTTTGACCAGGCTGTCCTCAAACTCACAGAGATCCACCTTCCTCTGCCTTTCTGAGTGCTAGGATTGAAGGCGTGCACCACCATGTCCAACTGGTTTAATTATCTAAATATAAAAGATAACACTAGAGTCATTCTTTGTGTGTATATAATTACCACTGTGTGGATATATATTTTTGGTATAAGAGCTGAAGGAACCAATCAAATTATTAATGTAATTTCTAGAAATAACTGTCATGTTAATTGTCCTAATTTTTTTTCTTTAGACAAGGTCTCATTATGTAGCTTTAGATAGCCTGGTACCAGGCTGGTCTAGAACTGACATCTACCTGTCAGACCCTAGAGTCCTACAATCAAAGGCATGTGTCACCATACCTAGCTCATTGCTATAATTTAAAACATGCTACTAGTCCACAAAAAAAAAGCTGCTACTACATAATTTAGACTGTCTAATCCTTTTATAATTCTTATAAAAATATATGTGAATTCTTACTCAGGGCTGTCATAAGCTATTAAATATGTGTCTGTCCAAGCCAAATACTTTAAAGGTACATTTATATGTAAGTCAACAAACACTATTCTGTGTAAAATAGCATATTAAACAGCACTGATACCCTTTCTGAATTAGTGAAAGGAACTGAAAATTAAAAATGAAATTTGATTTTTTTTTGATATACTGTTTTTCTGTATTTGTCAAAGTGACCGAGTGCTATAACCCTTAGTTTAAGGGACAGTAACCCTTATTGTTTGGATTTCAGAATTATAATTTGGTTTTCTTAAATTTGCTCTTTTTTTCTTTTTCAAAGGGACTCTAAACTGCTAATAATTTGGGAAAAAATGAAGCCAGAATTTAAATGGACAGCTCACTAATGCCAACAGCAGCAGCACCCTCGGTTCTGCATAAACCAGCAGCCTACCATTCAAGCCAGTCTTCCCTTCATCTTTATTCAATTCATGGTCGTTTTTCATAATTTCTAATGAAGTTTTTGTTTTTGCTTTTTTTGGAGGCAGCATTTCTCTGTGTAGCCAAGGGTGTACTGGAATTTGCTCTGTAGACCAGGCTGGCCTTGAACTCAGATCCACCTGTGCCTGCTTCCTGAGTGCTGGGATTAAATGTGTGCACCACCACCACCACCACCACCAGACCCTCTAATGAAGTTTCTAATCTGAGCCTGTCATATGCCAAAAACTAATTTATAGTACCTGAATACTGCTACTTGCAAAATGATCTTTTATGACCCTTTTTTTTAACATACCATGAATTAGTGTTTAAATTTTTATATATAAGTGTAATTTATATATAAATATATATTTATTTTGTGCGCTTACAAGCCATTGTATGTGTGCGGGGATCAGGACAACTTGTTGGAGTTGGTTCACTCACACTGTGTGGGTTCCAGGAGACAAACTCAGGGCATCAGACTTCACAATAATCCTTGTACCTTTCCTTGCTGAGCCATCCGACTTGCTCAAATTATGGTTTTTATGTGACTGTTTTCTTTCCCTTCCAAAACATTTTAAATTTCTGGATCTTAGATAGAAGCATGAACATGAGCTGCTGTCTCTGTTCAGCTCAGCCAAGCATCACATTCATTCAACACCACTATGGACTAAGCACTATGGCATGTACAGGGGATGTCAGCAAACAGAGCCGAAGTTCATGTTCACTTCTGCTTGAAGAAAACTGGCAGTAAGCAAGAATGTAACACGGACAAAGAAGCAGATACTGTAATAGAAAGGAGTGAAGTGATCTGTTCTACTGCTGCAGTGTAGACTATGAGTAAGATCAGCTTGGGGAGAGAAAGATTTATTTGGCTTACACTCCCCAGATCACAATCTGTTGAAGAAAGCCAAGGGAAGAAACTAAAACAGGTCATGAGGAATACTTTTTACTGGCTTGCCCTCAATGGCTTATTCAGCCTGCCTTTTTAAATAAATACTTTTATATATAAATAGAATTATATATTTTTTTTTTGTTCGGGGGGTATCAAGGCAGGGTTTCTCTGTAGACCAGGCTGTAAAGGTGTATACCACCACCGCCCAACAGCCCACCCTGCTCCCTTATGCCATCTAGGACCAACTACTCCAGTGAACTGGGCCCCGCCACATCAAGGATTAATCAATAAAATGCCCCCATAGCCTTGACAATTGGCCAATCAGATGGAAGCATTTTCTTGCTTGAGGCTCCCTTTTCCCAGATAATCCTGGCTTGTATAAAGTTGACCAAAAAAATAAATAAATAAAAATCACACAGCCAGGACAAGTGATAAGAAGTTATTGTTTGAAATGAAATAATCCAGAACCACTTCTCTGAATAGATATTTAAAGAGACCTGAATGAAATAGGAGATGTGAAGACAAAATAACACTTTCATTTTCTTTTTATTTTTTGGTTTTTCGAGACAGGGTTTCTCTGTATGCTTTGGAGCCTGTCCTGGAACTAGCTCTTGTAGACCAGGCTGGTCTCGAACTCACAGAGATCCGCCTGCCTCTGCCTCCCGAGTGCTGGGACTTAAGGCGTGCGCCACCACCGCCCAGCAACACTTTCATTTTATAAGTCAGTTTCACATAATTTCGTCTTTTGCTTTGTATTAAGAATATAGTCAAGGGCTGGAGAGATGACTCAGAGGTTAAGAGCACTGACTGCTCTTCCAGAAGTTCAGTTCTCAGAAACCACATGGTGCCTCACAACCATCTATGATATCTGAGGACCCACATGGTGAATAGAGAAGCAATTCCCTCAAGTTGTTCTCTGACCTCCAAACATGCACGATGGTACTTAAGCACCAATGCCAAGTAAATAAATGTAATAAAATTTGTTTTATATATATATAACAAGTGGAGAGAGGAGATATTTTCAAAACATTTAATCAGGCAAACATGCTTAGTTATTTCTGAGGAATAAACGGAATCACAAAGTTTAACAGGCTTTGACAAATGCTTTCTCATGAAACTTGATAATAGGAAAGGCAGACAGTAGAAATGGGAAAGAGAATATAAAGACATTGAGTGTCAGGGATTAAAAAAAGAAAAAGCAGTCTCATGGTTGAAGAGGAAGAAGCAGTTCCACTGCCAACTTTAGCTTGAGAGTTGTACAGGTAATAGGTTCTGATATCGGTGGAAAACTTGTGAGTGAAGCCATCAACTAACAGAGGTGGCTGTTGTAGGAAGCAGTTGGAGACTGTTGTATCCCTTCTGGGGAATCTAACACAGAGAGAAGGGGCACCTAACCAAGTAGTCCAACCAAGCCAAGCAAGTGAATTCATTGGGGTTGTATACAAGAGCAATGGGCAATAGACATGAAGCTACTTCTAAAGACATCCCCACCCTAGTGGTGAATCTTCTATCCCTGCCCTTCTCAACTGGAGAATGTTAATAGACCCTGAATTCAGTCCCTGCCAACATATACCAAACAAAAAGAAAAACCTACATTTTATGACTATTGCGCTATAGTATGATGTACTGGTTCCTTTGGAAACAATATAGTTACTAATTAATAAAAAGTTGGTAGACACTCTAGCAAAGGTTTCTTGCAATGTAGCCCAAACATCTCTGCCTCTCTAGTGTTGGAGTTGCATACATGCATCCGGTTTTTGTTTTTTGTCTTTGTTATTTTTAAAGTCATGTTATGGGCCAGTGAGATGGGCCAGCCAATATAGGCTCTTGCAACCAAGTCTGACAACCTAAATTTAATCCCTAGTACCATGTGATGGAAGGAAAGAACTGACTCCAGGTTGTCCTCTGACCTCACGCATACTGGCAAGTGAGTGCACACATGCATAAGAAATGTAAAAAGGAGGCTTTTTAAAAAAATGTTGGGCCAGCAAGATACTTTTTGTAGGTAAAGGCATTTACCATCCCAGAGATCCACATAGTATAAAGAGAGTAAGTCCTGACCTCCACATGTGTGTAATGGCCCATGTATATGCACATACACATACTAAATGAATAAACATGTATTTTTAAATTATGTTATAGGTGTAACAGAGTTCAATCCCGAGAACACACATAAAAACCCAAACGTGGTGGTTTGCACGTGTAACTCCAACACCGGGGAGATGGAGATGGTTCCGTGGTGTTCACTGGGCAGCCAGCATAGTCTTAACTTGGAAATTCCAAGAAACTGTTTCAAAATGAATGGCACGAGATTTATCTGTGGCCTCTACACACATACATACACACACATGGTCATTTCATACAGTGATGAGTTGGTCATAGTGGCCGGCACCTGTAATCCTCAAACCCCTCAGGCTAAAGCAGGAGACTCTCTTAAGTCCAGATATTTGACCCCAGTTTGGGTATCATAGACCTCATACTTAAAATGAGTCGGGTAGAGGAAATGTGCCATTAAAATAAATAAATAAATAGGCTTTCTAAGAACTGTAATTTTAATTGCTTCTTAATACAGAGAAGTCATGTGAGCCTGGCTTTAAGGGATGACAAGGGGAGGGTGTTATGGGTCTAATAAAAATGCTGCAGGTCCCCAAGTGGCTGTAGCAGGCAGCCAGCCATGAAGGTACCCAGTCCCAGTTAGGAAGCCCCCGAATGGCCCACTGGTCATGAGGGCCAGCGGGTCCTAGAGGGCAGGAAGAGTCATGGCAGCAGCTACCTCTTTGGGAGAGAGACAGAAAAGGGAAGGACTCTGGCTGTAAGCTTAAAATCAGCTTGCCTTGGTGGGGGAGGGGGGAAGGCGGAGCTGGTCTCTTAAAAGGACAGGACAGACCATTACAGGGGGCAAACCGTTGAGTTGAAGCAGTTTCAACAGTGAAAAGGGTTAGAATTGAGGTAACTTTGTTCTGTATGTTCTAGGAGCACTGAAAAATACCATGTTTCATGAAAACTACAGTTACCTGTTAATATTTTTAAATTGTGGCTATAAAATTTCCATAATTTCCAATAATTCATAAACTAAAAGACGATGCTAAATGAAATAAAGCACAAAATATGTAGATAATTATCATAAAGTATAAAAATTATAATAAAATATTGAGGGGGCAAACATAACCAGATGCCAAAGAAGTGACTTACAAAACTCAATAAATAATGTCTTTAGTTTTGCAAATATCTATCAAAAATTAGAAACAGGCTAGAGAGATGGCTCCGCAGTTAGGAGCAGTTGGTGCTCTTGCAGAGGACCTGAGTTGGTTTTCCAGCACCCACCTGGTGGCTTATAACCACCTGTAAACTATAGTACCAAGGGATCTGATACCCTCTTCTGGCCTAAGCAGGATTCTAAATGCATATGGTATATACATAAATCTTTTTTAAAATTTAATTTTATTTTATGTGCATTGGTGTAAAGGTATCATCCCTAGAACTGAAGTAACAGTTGTGAACTGGCACTTGTGGGTGCTGGGAATTGAACCCAGGTCCTCTGGAAGAACAGCCATTGCTCTTAACCACTAAGCCATCTCTCAAGCTCCACACATAAATCTGGAGCCACAGCCCTCAAAGTCAGGAACGTAACAAGCACCACTATTATTCAACTCTCTGGTGGTCTTATTGAGATCAATGTTATGACATTAAAAGGGAGTGTCAGAGAAAAACAAAAACATTTGCAGATGACCACCTAAGCCACTTATTACAAAACAATTAGGATTTACAAGTGAGCACATCAAAATAGCTGTCTTCTCAGGGAGTCAGAAGCTGCTATGTGAAGAACAAAAGCCATCAAAGTCAAGCTTTGAAGAGCTAAGACAGCAACAAGTTTGGCCCATCCCTGTAGTCGACACTAAGGTTAAATTATCTGCTCCCAAAGACTACGAGTCAATGAAGTTATAAAGACCCTTAACTGACCACTTTGAAAACCTAATCCCAAGTGTACTCTTGACTTCTAAATACCACATGCTAGCTGATTTTAGTTCCTTTAATGTGTAATCTACCCTCTTTAACAGGCCCAGCAAACCCCCCAGATTGTGCTAAGATTTAAACCTAGCTGTGAAGACAGCTCAAAGAGAAAATCAGGGCAAATATAGTAAAGGACTTTGAAGAGGGAGGGAAGTGCTTTCACAAGGACTTATGAGCTGTTTCTACAAGGTCTAAGGGTCCAGAGGTATCTATCTGTACTACCAAAATCCCTAAGGGGCTCTCATTCACATTTTAAGGCTTCAGGTTTTCCCAAATCCAATCTTACTACTTGTTTTCTTAGTTATGTATCATCTGTGATGGTTATCCCTGGTTGTTAACTAAAACCCAAGCAGCTGGATAGGTTTGAATGAAAATGGAAACCCCACAGTCTCATAAGGAGTGGCACTATCTGAAAGGATTCGGTGTGGCCATGTTAGAGGAAGTCACCATGTCTGCCTGTGCACTACCTTGCCTCCTGCCATGATGACAATGAAGTGAATCTCTGAACTATAAACTAGCCTAAATTAAATGTTTTCCCCTATAAGAGCTGTCATGGTCATGGTGTCTCTTCACAGCAATAAGACTCTAAGATAGTATACCTAGGTATATCCAGGAATTTTTTTAAATTAAATCATTTGAAGTGGGAAGAGCCACCTTTACTCTGGGCCACACCTTAGGCTGTCAGCCTGTGTAAGGACATGGAAGAGGCAGGCTGCTCTTTTTGCCTACATGCTCCTGTTCTGGACCCTACTTCCTTGGAATTCTGGTGCAGACAGAAGACCAGCTGAGACATCCAGCCTTGGGGACCAAGCTACTGGATTCTTAGATCTTCCGTTGGTAAGCATGTTGGGAACCATCCTCAACAAAAATACCTCTTGCCAGGGTAGAAGCATGGGGATTTAGAAATATAGTAAAGAACATGAAGACGTGAATGAAAATAATAAAACAGAGAAACATATAGGATAGTATTGGGAGGGAATTCCAGTGAGTACTGAAGATTCGCCTGTGTTTAATTTCCAACTGCTTAAAATACCCTGACCCCAAAAAGGTAGGAGTAAGACTAAAGACTGCATTAATATGATACAAGGAAAAGAACACACCAATTGAAGGTCACAGACTATATTCCTAGTTAAACATTCTGTTGCTAGAATAAAACAAGTCAAGCTCATACCCTAGACCAAAACATTCTGTAGGCAAACCACTCCCTGGGAATACCTTAAGGGAACTGGAAATTAGTTGGATCCTTAGACTTTTGTTTGAGGTAGAACAGATCTAATTCAATATTCCTGGAGCCCAAGGTCTGGCTATTAGTCACACTTGTTAACATTTATCTTGAGAAAGCAGAACTCTTCACTCCTAGCCTAGGTGGGACCTTTGTTTGAGGTTGTAGAAATCACGCTGAGGGATAGGGAACACATGGTTGTTGTGGAAAAAAAATACCTGGTTCAGGATCCCGACCCCGGAAAAAGGACTCAGGGTGTGAGAGCCAATCCGAGTCAAGGCACCAATAAAATGGATTACTAAAAATGCTGCAGGATCCCCGGCAGCAGCAGGCAGCAAAAACGCTGTAAGTCCCCCAGCAGTGCCAGCAGGCCATGTGGTGGCAGGCAGTGGGCCCTGAGAGCAGCCAGTCCCAGGCAGGGATGGATGCAGGTGCTGGTCCAGGGCAGGGAGATACGCTGCATCAGGCAACAGACAGAGACCTGGATAGGCACACCATGCAGAGTGAGGTTAGATATTTATTCAGTGAGTTATGAAAGGAAAGGGGGAGAAGTAGAAGGGCGGGGTGGGGAGAGGGGAGGAGAGAGAGAAGAGAGAAACAGAAGCTGCCTCTTCGAGAAGGAGACAGAAAAGAGAGAGAACTCGGGCTGGAAGTTGAAGATCAGCCTGTCTCAACAGACGGGAGGAAGTGGGCATGGCTTGTCTTTAAGAGACAGCATTACACCAACCTCATATGACTTTTTTTAATCCAATAATAACTATGTCAGGCAGGGGAGATATCTCTATTGGTAAATGTACTTGCCACCAAGACTGACAACCTGAGTTTCATTTTTAGGACCCACAGAGTAAAAAAAGTTAAGGGATTCTTGGCAAGTTGTCCTGACTTCTACACCATGTTGTAGCAAAGCTCCTCCCCTCAGCAAATAAATGTCACTTTATTAAAGCTTCTATGACACCGATGTTTTAGCATTTAAGACTCCTGCAGAGGACCAGAACCCACATCAGGCTGCTCCTAACTAACTAACTCCAGTTCCAGGGCATGCAACACCTTCTGGCTCTGAGAACACCTACACTCACATGCACACACCCATTCATGCACAGAATGAAAAATAAATCTTTTAAAAAGGTCCTTGTGGGGGAGGGAGAGATGGCTCAAAGTTAAGAGCACCGGCTGAGGTCCTGAGTTCAATTCCCAACCACCACATGGTGGCTCACAACCAACTATAATGAGATCTGGTGCCATCCTCTGGCATGCAGGCATTCCTGCATGTCTAACACTGTGATAAATCTTAAAAAGTCTTTGTACTAAACATGTTTTTGTCTATTATTCATTCTTTAAATCCAATATAACAAGTATTTAAGTAACATTGGTATTATAATAGGTATTATTATCCAGAGGTAATGTAAATTACTCTGCAAGAGATGACAGGTAATAAGCAAAACATATGCCATTTTATATAAGGGACTTAGGATACACCAAATCTGGTATTGATATGAGTTCTGGAATCAATCATTCAAGTCACTAAGAGACCAACACACATACACACTTGTATATGATAAAATGTCTCTAAAATACACCATGCAACCTAATAGAAAAGAAAAATGTTCAAAAATTTAGTAATTCAAGATGGTGATAGTAGCATTAAAGCAAATGTGTAACTATACAGGCCACACACAAGAAATGGGCCCCATTCTAGCATCACACAAAAAAGCGGTAGGAGGTTTTAACGCAGAATGATATAGTCAGTGTTTCCCGAAGAAAAAGTGAATAGCAGGAAGCAGGAGCTAAAGAGGCCTTGCACTGCAAAAGTTTCTCTGTCCTTTTTTTTTTTTAATGTATAAAGGTTATTACTTATAAAAACAGTCCATTAGGGGCTCGGTTGGGCTAGAACTTTTTGGAGAGGATCTGAGGGAAGATGTGGTTATGGTGAGGTGCTTTCAGACAAGCACCTATGGGGCCCTGCACTGTAGATTCCTGCTCTAGCCTTCTGCCCCTACATCTGTTAAGTTCAAAGTATTAATGGAGCCAAAAACACTCTCTCTACAGAAAATTCTCTGTAAACCCTGAAATTCCCCGTCACAAAGCTAAATGGGCTTCCAGGATCTGTCCAGTGCTCTTGCAAAGGCCTTTTCTCCTGAGGAGTGGACAATGGGCAGGTGCTTAGAAATAACCCAGGAGTGTCCTCTAACACTGGGTGTAACATGAAGGGCTGGCTTGTAAAAAAAAAAAAAAAAATGTTCTTTCTGTGCCCTTTCCAAAACCAATTATATTTTCCCTGGCTCAGAGTACATTTTGTACATATCAATCACAGCAAGGTCCAGCACATATGGATAAAAATTCAAGTCCTTTTGGCATAGGGAGTACCCCGCTATAAATCATAGGCTGGCCTGCACCTCTCAGATCCTCCTGTCTCAGCGTTTCCAAGCCAAGTTCACTCATCACAGGCAGGTAGCAGCACGCCAGACTACAGATTCAGAGAAAAGCAATTATGCATCAGATTTTGAAATTATTTTTAATCAAGCGCCTACTGTACACAAGCTCCACCTTTCAGCGTTCTGGTGAAGTGTTCACACCTAACCAATCTCATCAAACATAAGCACACTCGGGCAAGTGTAGTCATAACTACAACTCCCGAAAGACAACGCGGTGTCACCATGTGCACTTATCCCATGCTTTTCAGGTTAGAGCCAAGAGCTGGCCGAGCTGAAGGACCGTATCGTGAACGACTGACCGCTAGACGGACAGGACGAGCCGCAAGCGTCCCGCGCTAACCAGTCTTCAGCCCGCCGGGCCGAGCTCTCCGGCCGCCCCCGGGGCCCGCGTCCGCCGCCTTTCTCAGGCATAGACCGATGGCCGGCACTACGAGGCTACCGGCAGGCAGAACGCCTGGGCGAGCCACAGGAAACCGTCAACGCTCCCGTGGAACCTTACAATTGCCTGCTGCTCATGGTGGCCAGGGAGCATCTCCCGGGCAGAACGTACCCGCCATGCACCCAGCAAATCTCTAAGAAGAACTCAGCAACGCCACGGCTCCAGCCACCTTCCACTGGAGAAGGCAGAAAACCTCGCGAGATCTCCCCGCCAAAGAGGCGGGCAGAAAGAGCAGGAAGTCCCTCCCGGGCCTGCGCCCCCCAGTGTGTCCTCCTCGCGAGAGCACCAGGTTTGGCTTTCCGGAAGTGTGTTCCGCGTAGAGGTGCTGTGTGCTGGGCTCGTCGGCCGCCGTAGCCCCTGCTAGGGCAGCCCGTGCAACCCTGCTGGAAGAGGAAGAGAAAGGCTGAGAGAGTCGGGTTACAAGATGGCGGATCTGTAGTAGTTCCCGCGGCGGGCGGCGGCAGCCGGAGAGCGAGTGTGTTCCGGGGAGCAAAGGGAAGAGACGGTGGTAGTGCGCAGGGGTGGAGGGAGGGGACCGGAGAGCACGGGCGGCGGGCTCCCGATGGCTCTTGTCACCCCTTCTCGCGGCTAGACCTTTGGAGCCATGGTAAACTCGGGCCTATCCAGAGCCGCCGCCGCCGCCGCTGCCGCTGCCGGCTCCCAGGAGTGAGGGCCACCGGCGAGGTGAGCGAGGAGGCGGCGGCTGGAGCGGGGGCCCAGCAGCCACCATGTCGGATACACGGCGGCGGGTGAAGGTCTACACCCTGAACGAAGACCGGCAATGGGACGACCGGGGCACCGGGCACGTCTCCTCCACTTACGTCGAGGAGCTCAAGGGGATGTCGCTGCTGGTCCGTGCCGAGTCCGACGGTAAGGGGATTGGAACGCGGGAAGAGAGGAGCGTGCCTTCGGTTGCAGCACCAGCTGGGGTGTGAGCTCCGGGCGCGGGGGGGACAGCGCATGGCATGGGGCTTGAGCCTGCCCTTCTCAACGATAAAAACAAACTACTGGGCCTAGCTTTACTCGCCGTCAGACGTGGACTCCCAGTTCCTCCGCCTCCATCCCTATTAAGGATTTGACTCCTTCCGCTCCAATCCCTGCCTGGTTGTTGAGGTTTAGAATGTGAAGAGTGGGAAGTCGGTAGGAGACCAGATAGGAACCTAACCCGTGAGATAATGTCACCCCGTACCCGCTTTGGGTACAGTCTTGTCCTTTATATGTGTCCAATATAAAGGGGTTAGTAAAACTCTTCTGAGTGCCTTAGGGAAAAAACGGACTCTTTCTTGGAGTTAGTATAGACCGTTGCGACGACGTAAACACGAGCACATACGGTTTTACTTTTTGATCCCTCTAGGTTGCCATTATAGAGAGTGGGGGAAAAAAATGGGTTCCACAGTCTTAGTGAGTTAGAAAACTAAAGCAGACTCGGAGATTGTATTTGTTGATTACAGAATTCATAGAAAGCATTTTAATATTAAAAGCTGACAGCCATAATTATAATTACAGCCTGTACTCAAGAACTACCCAATTGGAGTAACTGATATATGTAGGTAATAGAGAACTAACAGATTTATTTTTGGCAATGTTGTACTAATGTAGAGTCCCTTTTATTTATTAACTAATCAAGGTAATTTTATGTGGGGTGTTTTGTTGTTACTCATTGTCTTAGGAACAGGATAAGTGTAATTTGTATGGTAAGTCTCTCCAAAGCCCTCGAAATTTGTTTTGATAGACAGGAAATACAGTGAAACAGCTTTTGTTAAAGTTAATCTTCAAATGGACAGTTAGACCCCAAAAGTTTTATTTTAGTTTTCTCATAGTCTGAATATTGGTTTCACATAAATTTTTCCCTCGAAAGACATTTGGAGATAGGATGAAAGATTGTAAGCTAAATATGTAGCCTAAATCTGGAGAGAAAATATGTATTAAAATACATTTCGTAGCCTCAGATCTTCAGCTTGTTTAGAAACATAAAACATTTGTAAAATGTGTGTTGTTGAAGAAGGCTTTATAGCTTGAGACTTACATGTTTGTTTTTTTTTTTAACTCTTTCAGGATCTCTACTCTTGGAGTCAAAGATAAATCCAAACACTGCATATCAGAAACAACAGGTAAGTAGCTACTAATCTTTAATTTGAAAAACTGTGTGTGTCATCCAGAAGTATTAATCTGACAGAGATGGGCATACTTTCCAGACCAGAAAAACAGTTTGGTAACTAAAGTAAGAGGCCATATGTATTTACCTTTGAGGTTGGTAGAGTTTCAAACTGAAAAGTGATTTTTATATTGGCAGTTTATATTGTTTTTTTTTTAATCGAATCACTGTTTGTTTTAGAAAACAATGGGGTTTTTTTGTTCTTGTTTACAGTAAGCCAGGTCTCTCCTATATGCTCTACATAAAACCATTTATTCAGAGTCACATTTGAAAGAAATGACTTAAAAGAATATTCAAACTGTTCAGTTACTACCATTAAGAAAGAAATTCAGCAATGGTGGTGCATATGTTTAATCCCACCACTTGGGAGGCACAGGCAGGTGCATCTCTGTGAATTCAAGTATGGCCTGGTCTACAAAGCAAGTTCAGGACAGCCAGGGCAACGTAGAAAAACAACAACAAAATCAGAAGGATACTTTTAAAGCAATGAAAGACTGTTTGGTGTGAAATTGGATCCTTTGACCAAGGAAAGGGGCTTATTGAGGGATTTTTAGGTGGCATTTAAGTTCTGCTTTAAATTGTATGCATATTTTTATGTAATCAATTGATAATTGATACTCTATAAATATACATATTGTTAATTATGTAACATTTTCTCAATATTATTGTCTCTTTGGAAAAGGAAATCTGTTTTAGTATTTCTAATTTAACATGAAGATGATAGATTTGAGTCATACTTTATCTGTGAATATTTTCATTTTTATTGTGAAATGCTATCAAAATTGAATAGTGTAGAGAATAATATAGTGGGCTCTGTTATAACACCATCAATTTACTAATATTAACATACTATATCCTTTTCAATTTTTTTGTAATGTTTAGCATGGCTACCCAGGTTAAAATCTCTTTTGTGTCTATCCCTTTTATCCATTCTTTATTCCCCTATGGTAACTCCACTAAAATTACGTGTATTCTTTCTGTAGATGCTTTTAATACCTTTCCTGCATGTCTCTTGTGTGTTTTGGGGTTTTTTTATTTATTTATATATAATTGCTTCCCCCCCAGACGAGTTTTTTTGTTTTGTTTTGTTTGTTTGTTTTTAGATTTATTTATTATATATTCAGTATACTCAGTACTCTCGGGCCAGAAGAGGGCACCAGATCTCATTACAGATGGTTGTGAGCCACCATGTGGTTGCTGGGGATTGAACTCAGGACCTTTGGAAGAGCAGGTGGTGCTCTTAACCACTAAGCCATCTCTCCAGCCCGTCTCTTGTGTGTTTTTAAACTTTTATGCTATTGATACCATACTTTTACATATTCTTAAAATTGTATTTTTACACTTTTTTGAAGATTAATTTGTGTTATTGTAGGTAACTTTTTAAAATGCTGTATTATGCTGATGTATGCTATATACCTATAGACATTTGGATTATTTCCTCGTGTGTGTGTGTGTGTGTGTGCGCGCGTGCGCGCGCACGCGCACGTGTCCGTGTGTGTGCATGCTTGTGGAAGAGGTATGTAAAATCACGATGACAGACTTTGTAGGGAAGAGAGAAATTATTTTAGGTTTATAATTATAGCATCAAGTCTATCTTTAAGGTCTATGAAAATTTGGATGCTATAAACATTTCACGTAAAAAATAAAATTACACCTATTATAAAGGTTGTTAATAGGAAAATTTTTAATGTATGTAATTGCTTTGTGCATGCAGTACATTCTTAGTTCCTTGAAATATTTTAGCATTCAACTGGTAGCTTTTTTCTCTTAGATAATTTTTATACGTATCTTTTGGTGAAGAATTCAATTAAAACATTTGTCTTAAACATTTGAATGTTTCTCTGTATCTTAGATATGTCTGAGGACATTTGAATTTATTTCAAACTCCAGTAGGCAGACAATTAGTTACTCTGTGTTTGAGTTTTGTAAGATAGCTAGTTCTGGGTTTTTGCTTGTTTGTGGGGAGATACTAATATTTTGTCATCTTTCTCCTACCTACATGAATATAAAATGATAAGGACATTTGCTCATAACTGTGGCTCGCAAGGCATAGGCAGGTCCCTACACATTTAGTTGTAATAACAATTCTTGACTTGTGTAAGTGATCTTTTACCTGCTCTTACTATTGAAAAGATCCTATTGTGTGTGCAGAGGCTTATTAGTAAAAAAGTCCTCCAGCACATAAGAAAATATACACTGGTTCTTTAAGTACGTAAGAATTTTAAAGCATACTTTCATGTAAATGCTACTATCTAGGAAACTAGTTCCAGACAAATTGGATTTTTTTATACAGTTAAGTATGAAAAGCATCACAAAAAAATAAATTTGAAAGATTTTATAGCATCTGAAAATGTTTTCTGTAACCAGTCACATTTAAGTAAAATAGTTCCGGGATGCATATTTACGACTTTCTCATCCAAGCACACACATACATACATACACACACACACACACACTCTCTCTCTCTCTCTAAGGTTTACAAGAGAATTCTTTGGTAATGAGAGAAATATGGGAAAGCATTGTATGAATACAGGAATGAAAACCTGTAAATGGAGTCACCTGTTTTATTTTCTTTAATCTTTTTTAAATTGGGAGGACCTTCTAGTGGAAGTCATAGAGCCATTTGAAGTTATGGTAAATTTAGTTTCTATGTAATCTATGCAGTTTCTTCCTATTTTAACCAAAGTCTTGCTCAGTTTGTACTTTTTACCAAGTTGCACAAATTGAAATTGTGAATACATCATTTTTATGTTTACTAGAATTATCATTATCAAGATTTGTCAACATGAGATTTTTAAATAGATTATTCTAATTACTATTTAACTAGGTTTTTCCACAATTAAAGTTAATATTATTCATCAATGGGCTTTTAATTAAAAACGTAAGCAAATTGTTTGTTTATAGAAAATTTTGCTGTATTAAAATATGTTGAGTAAATTAAGAGATAATTATTTAATATTCACAGTCCTAGAATTATCCAACTGCTTAATTGTTTGCACAGCAAAGTATTAGATTGATGGGCGTACTTAAAATGTGTTAAAGTACTGCTGAGTATCTGTCAGTGATTCACAGTACTTTCCTACCATGTCTCCGTACTGAAAAGGGAGAAATGGGAAGATGTATTTACTTAATACACTTGAATATGTAAGCTGACACATTAGAAAGAAAAAGTGATTATGCAGTACAACATGAATCAAAGTGTCTGATATGTGTTTCAGGTTTTTAAGTTACTTAAAATCAATTCTACTGATCTTGGCTAAATCAAAAATCAAAATCATTGGGATATACTTAGCATATTTTACATAGTTGTGTGCTCATGAGTCCAAAAGATCAGTCCTTACCTCAGTGAAACAATAGAATAATAAAATAACTAATGAATTTTTTTTTTCTGCCTAGACCTCACTGAAAATGCATGAAAGCATTTCCTGTGGAGGCAGCTGAGGTACAGAAAGGTTATGGATGAGAATGTAAAGCAGGTATATTACAACACGAAATATTGTAAACAGCAAACTTGTATTCCACAGGTGTGGGCGCTAGAAGTTAGAGACAGGAGAAAGTATAAGAGGCAGGCATCTGTAAGAAGAATTCATTCTTGGTAATGGTGGTAGTTGCTGAAATCAATATACACCTGCTTGAATCGCAGGAAGTCTATTCACAGTTTTTTTCGCTTGAGAGTTTGGTGTACCAAACAAAAGTGAGACCTAAAATGATGAAAGTGGTACTGTGTTTAAGAAAACCTGTATGACAGAAACATGAATAATAGATGAGGAAAGCGTGGTGGAACAGAAACGCTTGGGTGGGAAAACTTTTTGTAGTAATTGTGATACGGGAAATTAAAGTCTGGTAAATAGACTTGAAGAACTCTGGTCTGTTTTCAAGGGGCTGCTAGAGGACACGGTGGACAATGAACCACCATGCCAGTGACCGTCTCGTTTCCTTACAGTTCATTGTCTTCTAGTGATGCATGTGTAAACAGATGTGTGGCGGTATGCTCGCCCTTTCATAAGCCCAACAACATTCTGTATGATATTCTGGATTTTGTTTGGTTTTATTTAACTTAGACTTTAAATAAATGAAGTGAAATAAATGAAGTCTAAATATTAAACATCTGGAACTAGTGGTTGGGTTTGAGTTAGTAATGCAGATTCTCATCTAAGAATTATAAAGTGAACTTTTAGCTTCAGCAAGGGACCACTCCCTTAGTAGATAGAAATTAAGAACAAAACCTAAGTCAGCTTTGTTGACTGTCCACACTTATTTATGGACGCGGTACTTTTTAGACTGTTGTTTATAGGCTGGTCCTAATTTTCTTGAGGGCTTTGTCTTTTAAATTAAGTTTGAAAATTTTTGAAGAAATGTCTTGGTTTTGGTTCTGTTTGTGGTGTGTGTTGAGTGGGATGTCAAATCCCACACCTTGCACATGCTAAGGAAGCACTTTGCCACTGGCCTACTTCCCAGTCCTTGGTAGAGTTTTTAAATTACCTGGCAGGGACGATACCATGATCACAAAGGTGGTTTGCCCAGGGGGAGGCTTACCGTTGCACTCCAGATGTAGTGGCCCCTGCAGCTCCCCCAAATGTGATAGTGAGGATGTCTCTTGTACCCTTCCTGAAACAAACTAACAAAAGAATGGCACCTTCCAAAATACAGAATATCAGTCTGTGGGTGTTGGTGAAAAGCAATAAATGGAAGAATATTTGGTTATGGGGTGACGCTTTAGTCCAAGCAGGCAGTTGAATTAAAGGGTTGTGGAGATATTGAAAGATAGAAGATCTTAAGTTATTTATTTATTTATTTATTTATTTATTTATTTATTTAATGAGCATGAGTATTTTGCCTGCATGTATGTATGTATGTGTATGCACAACATCCTTGGAGGCCAAAAGAGGGCGTCAGATCCCCTGGGTCTGTACTTAACCATGGTTGTAAGCTGCCATGTAGGTGCTTGAAATTGAA